GCCAGGCACTCCTGTCTTCCGCTGCCTCCCGCAGTTTGGTCAGACTCATGTTTGTAGCTTCGAGAACACTGTCCAACCATCTCGTCCTCTGTCATCCCCTTCTCCTTGTGCCCTCCATCTTTCCCAACATCAGGGTCTTTTCCAGGGAGTCTTCTCTTCTCATAAGGTGGCCAAAGTATTGGAGCCTCAGCTTCAGGACCTGTCCTTCCAGTAAGCACTCAGGGCTGATTTCCTTCAGAATAGATAGGTTTGATCTTCTTGCAGTCCATGGGACTCTCAAGAGTCTCCTCCAGCACCATAATTCAAAAGAATCCATTCTTCGGCGATCAGCCTTCTTTATGGTCCAGCTCTCACTTCCATACATCACTACTGGGAAAACCATAGCTTTAACTATACGGACCTTTGTTGGCAAGGTGATGTCTCTGCTTTTTAAGATGCTGTCTAGGTTTGCCATCGCCTTTCTCCCAAGGAGCAGGCATCTTTTAATTAAAAGTAGTCGATTGAGGCCATTTCCTCATGGTTAGAGGGGAATGCAACCCTCACAAAATGCAAAGCCTTATCTTCAGGTGGTGGAAAATCCTCTGGTTGCAGATTCAGTCTTAAACAGCTGGACTCTCTATTCTTCAAGGCAGAGCTCTCCAAACTTTTCATGTTGGTGACACATTTTAGACACGCACCATTTCGTGACACAGTTTTAATTCAGTTTTACTAGCAAACCAGAGGCTAAACTAACCCCTTTCCAGCTCGACACACTAATGTGTCGCGAAACACAGTTTGGAAAGCTCTGCTTTAAGGCCAGACTTGGTACCCCCTCATATATTTCCTCCCGACTACAACCCCTGCTCACTGGGACTGATGGGAGTTGTAGTCCAGGAGGCCAGTCAATGTAGCTGTGAATTTCACCATCCCCTTATGGACCAGCAGAGCTATATTTGCTTTTTCATGAGTTGTTGCTTCCCGAGCCAAGTGCCGTGCATATTAATGGCGCCACATAAAGAACGGCAAAACTAATCGTTTTAAAAGGTCAGAGGTGGGCTGGTGGAGGGAAAATTGCTTTTTGCATTATACTCCTTGCAGAGGCCTTAAGACAGGAGCCGGAAGTGAAGACTCTGTTGCAATACCTCTCTTTTTCTATCTCTGTGGTGGGGCAGTTACAAAGCTGGCTGGGTGGGGAGACCAGGAGGAGTGGAAAGGAGAAAATAATGAAAACATCCTGGGCAAGCCAGCCACAGTGTGTGCATCCATCAGGAATAAGATAGCGGGTTTGGAGAAGGGGAATATGATGATCCCTGTGTGTTTTAACTCAGATGTAAGACTCACAGAGCTCAATGGGCTTCTTCCTTGCAAGAAAATGCATTTTGTTTATTTATTAAAGTATCTATTTATATGCTTGTTGTTGTTGTTTAGTCGTTTAGTTGTGTCCGACTCTTCGTGACCCCATGGACCAGAGCACGCCAGGCACCTCTGTCCTCCACTACTTCCTGCAGTTTGGTCAGACTCATGCTGGTAACCTCGAGAACACTATCCAACCATCTCGTCCTCTGTCGCCCCCTTCTCCTTGTGCCCTCCATCTTTCCCAGCATCAGGGTCTTCTCCAGGGAGTCTTCTCTTCTCATGAGGTGGCCAAAGTACTGGAGCCTCAGCTTCACGATCTGGTGATGTCTCTACTTCTCAAGATGCTGTCTAGGCCTGTCATTGCCCTTCTCCCAAGAAGCAGACGTCTTTTAATTTTGTGGCTGCTGTCACCATCTGCAGTGATCATGGAGCCCAAGAAAGTAAAATCTCTCACTGCCTCCATTTCTTCCCCTTCTATTTGCCAGGAGGTGATGGGACCAGTGGCCATGATCTTCGTTTTTTTGATGTTGAGCTTCAGACCATATTTTGCGCTCTCCTCTTTCACCCTCATTAAAAGGTTCTTTAATTCCTCCTCACTTTCTGCCATCAAGGTTGTGTCATCTGCATATCTGAGGTTGTTGATATTTCTTCCGGCAATCTTAATTCCAGCTTGGGATTCATCCAGCCCAGCCTTTCGCATGATGTATTCTGCATACAAATTAAATAAGCAGGGAGACAAAATGCAGCCTTGTCGTACTCCTTTCCCAATTTTGAACCAATCAGTTGTTCCATATCCAGTTCTAACTGTAGCTTCTTGTCCCACATAGAGATTTCTCAGGAGACAGATGAGGTGATCAGGCACTCCCATTTCTTTAAGAACTTGCCATAGTTTGCTGTGGTCGACACAGTCAAAGGCTTTTGCATAGTCAATGAAGCAGAAGTAGATGTCTTTCTGGAACTCTCTAGCTTTCTCCATAATCCAGCGCATGTTTGCAATTTGGTCTCTGGTTCCTCTGCCTCTTCTAAATCCAGCTTGCACTTCTGGGAGTTCTCGATCCACATACTGCTTGAGCCTTCCTTGTAGAATTTTAAGCATAACCTTGCTAGCGTGTGAAATGAGTGCAATTGTGCGGTAGTTGGAGCATTCTTTGGCACTGCCTTTCTTTGGGATTGGGATGTAGACTGATCTTCTCCAATCTTCTGGCCACTGCTGAGTTTTCCAAATTTGCTGGCATATTGAGTGTAGCACCTTAACAGCATCATCTTTTAAAAATTTAAATAGTTCAGCTGGAATACCATCACTTCCACTGGCCTTGTTATTTGCAGTGCTTTCTAAGGCCCATTTGACTTCACTTTCCAGGATGTCTGGCTCAAGGTCAGCAACCACACTACCTGGGGTGTACGAGACATCCATATCCTTCTGGTATAATTCCTCTGTGTATTCTTGCCACCTCTTCTTGATGTCTTCTGCTTCTGTTAGGTCCTTACCACTCTTGTCCTTTATTATGGTAATCTTTGTACGAAATGTTCCTTTCATATCTCCAATTTTCTTGAACAGATCTCTGGTTCTTCCCATTCTGTTGTTTTCCTCTATTTGTTTGCATTGCTCATTTAAGAAGGCCTTCTTGTCTTTCCTTGCTATTCTTTGGAAATCTGCATTCAATTTCCTGTATCTTTCACTATCTCCCTCACATTTTGCTTGCCTTCTCTCCTCCGCTATTTGTAAGGCCTCGTTGGACAGCCATTTATATGCTACCCTCTTGCAAAACTTCAGAGAGGTGGAGAGCAACATTAAAATGTTTTACTCATTTAGTATTATTATTATTATTATTGGCATCCATCCGTCTCAGGAGACAATGGAGGACTGCATTTTTAACAACACTTAAAATAAAGAACATAGAAGAAAAAAAAGTGAGAACGTGATATTTTTATATAAAAAAGAAAGGTATGCTATATCACTATAAGAATTACAATTCCATCTATACTTATCTAATATATAGATATTATCATCCAAATATATATATATATATATATATATATATATATATATATATCCTATACAGTATGTTATAATAAAATTGAGAACTCATTTATACACTTGTCCATTAAAAGTCTACATTTATAAACAATCCACTCACAAGTGGCAATAGTAGTCATGTCTTCAATTATTCGATGCAGCCATACATTAAAACATTTTAAAGCAATACAGAACAATCAGGAAAGTGGCTGGCTACTTTTAAAGAGAAATTTAAAGAGTTATTTTTTAAGAGAAAATTTAGATACATTTTAAACAATGGTATACAGCTGTTGGCATAAAAAAAGTTATCAAAAAGCACTTGGAAAGTCAAATACGGGACGAAGTGAAGCCTTGGTGCAGTTTAGGGAGAAAAAAATGGACTCTGGGGCAGGTGGAAATTAATTTATTGCTTTGTAACACCTGCTTGATGCAAATGGGAATACTTACTCCCAAAAGCATGTGCCTGATTTACTTAAGTTTATATCTCACCCTTCCTCCAAAAGAGCCCAGGATGGCAAACAATGCCGATACAATACAATTAAAACTTCTAAAAACAGTTTAAAAGTCCTAAAACTCAACACCCGCTCTCAAAACCAGTAATTTCAGGGTTGCCATGGCAGATGTTCCGGCCACCAAATCTTTGGGTAAGCAAGGAATGCTTTGAAATTCCTCCTGAAAGTTAACAACGAGACCTGGGTTCAAATCCACGCTCTGCCATGAAGCTTACTCCCAGCCTAGCCTACCTCACAGGGCTGTTGGGGGGATTAATTGAGGAGGGGGAGAAGAACCATGTACACCAGTGCGAGCTCTTTGGGGAAGACGGCAGGATAGAAATGCAAAAAAGAAACCGTATTAGATAGAAGGCAGTCAAAAATCTTCGGTTTTCGAAGGACTTCTTCATCAACCAACTGGAAGGTGTAAAGAGATGGGGCCAGAGACCCAGACCTGTGTGTGTGTGTTGCGGGGGAGGTGTGTTTCTATATTTTAGGGGGCCACCACCAAGAAGGCCTCCTCAGAGAACACAAAGGTTTTGAGCAAGTCAATAAACTGTCAAGTTTTCTCCCCTTAATCCCGCCTTCCCCTCCCATTAACAACACCCTGGTTTGTTTTTAAAAAACGAACAAACAAGGAAAGTGAAGCTTACAATCTGAAATGCCTGCCTTCCTTCCTTCCTTCCTTCCTTCCTTCCTTCCTTTCTTTCTTTCTTTCTTTCTTTCTTTCTTTCTTTCTCTTTCTCCCTCTATCTTTCTCTCTCTCTCTTTCTTTCTTTCTTTCTTTCTTTCTTTCTTTCTCTCTCTCCCCCTCGATCTCCCAACTTTCAAGATTCTTCGTCGGTTACACTTTCTCGTGTGAGTGCGTTTCGTAAAATGCGTGTTCCATTCCAACTTCAAAACAAAACACCAACCCTGCAAAACCCGAGCAATGCAATTCTTTTTTTTTCTTTTTGCTCTGCCAATCTCCCCTAAATGGTTCTTTATTTTCATTATTTTTTAATTGGGTAAGTAACCCGGAAGAAACAAAAACGGGGGGGGGGGGGAGAGAGTCCGCTGACACCTGGCCAGGAAGGGGTTAAGGCAGCCAGCAGCCGAACTCTCGCCTTCCTAGAAAGGAAGCGGCCCTTCGGAGCCAAGGCCCGGTGTTGTTGGGGGGAAGGAATAGCGGGCGCACCTTCCGGTCCCGCTCCTCTCGGGCCACGAAGGAGGAGCCGCATTGCCTGGCAGAGCAGCTGGAGGCTGGTTGCATGGAGGGAGCCGCCAGCGGAAGGTGCGGCGGGTTTGGTTTTTGGGGGCGGAAAAGTGGGGACCCCGTTGCTGTGGGCGGCCGTGGAGGCAGAAGGCGCTTGCTGGGAGGGCGGCTCCAAAGGCTGAAGCCCCTGAGCCGCTGGTTCAAAGGCCGCTTCTCTTAGGGACTAGGAACTTGGGGGAGCTGCTTTAGGCAGCTGCCCAGGCGTTTCAGAAGGGATTCCTTCCTGGAGATGCCATTGCGGGTGGATCCTGGGATCTCCTGCCTGCAGAGGTGGTGACCCGCCTCTGATTTTCGCTGCCCTTCGCCTCCCAAAAAAGAAAAATATAACTGGGTTAGGAACCGTAATGTGGTGGTTATGGTTTGCTAGGACAGGGGTCTGCAACCTTTAAGACAAAAAGAGCCACTTGGACCTGTTTCCGAAGAAAAAAACACCTGGGAGCTGCAAAACCATTGCGACATTTAAAGCATGCGCGCCGCTGCCCTCCGATCTGACAGTGGGTGGGAAGGTGACGTCAGGACGGTGCGTGACTAACGCACGCACTGCCCCCATGCGACGTCACAGCCAGTACAGCGCCCGCCACAGTGGGGAGTGTCAGGGCGCACAATGCGCCTCCTCCCCTCGCTAGTATATGCCCTGGAGCCGCGGCAAAGGTGTAAAAGAGCCACATGCGGCTCCGGAGCCGCGGGTTGCAGACCCCTGTGCTAGGGAGAAGAGAGCAGAAGGGGAGAAACAGCAACTCCGAGGGGTTAAAGGGCGGGAAGGCGTCAGAAGGAAGAGAAAAGGCGAAATTGTGGTTTGACGGCGTGTGTTAAAAATGTTGAAACTTAATAAAATAGAATTGGGGCGGGGGAGACTGGATTGGGAATTAGGGACATAGGAAAGTGCCTTGAACGCAATCGCTGTGGCCCTTATAGCTCATACTGTACTGGGATGTCAGGAGTCGTTTATTGTTGTTGACAGGATTGTGTTGTTGTTGTTAATGATTTAGACCGGAGGGCCGTGGACCCCCAGGGTCTGCGTAACCCACCCAGGAGTCTGTGAGCACCATTCACATAACAAAAACGACCATAGAGGTGTCAACATTTTCAAATGTAGGGGGTCTGTGGCTGGGGTTTTGAAAAACAAGGGGTCTGCAGTACAGTGGTACCTCGGGTACTTAATTCATTCCAGAGGTCTGTTCTTAACCTGAAGCACCATTTTAGCTAATGGGGCCTCCCGCTGCTGCCACGCCGCCAAAGCACGATTTCTGTTCTCATCCTGAAGCAAAGTTCTTAACCCGAGGTACTCTTTCTGGGTTAGCGGAGTCTGTAACCTGAAGCGTATGTAACCCGAGGTAACACTGTACTTCACATAGGAATGGTCTTCCGTGGTGCTCAGTTAGCTGAGTTACAGCCCCATCACACAGGCCTTTGAAATGTAATACATTCAAATCTTTCATAAATGTGGTGGAAGGGAGGTTAGATGGCCATCTATGATTTAGTTGAGATTCCTGCATTGCAACTTTGCAACTTTGTGCAGCAGCTGTTAAAGTTGCAAAACGACGGAGCAATGGAGAAATCTCTGAAACAACAATAGGATATCAGCTCAGGCATGATGGAGAACAGCAACAACCGGGAAAAGATAGACAAAGCATTTTACAAGGACAGGAAGAAATAACATGGCATGGACAGAACAATTGCCACAAACAGGAAGAACAAGGATATAGATTGAGTTCCTCATTTTTAGTTCTATAAATCATTTAATGTGTCGGCACGAATAGAAGTTATTAATATTGCAGTTGTTGTAGAAGGGATTATTATTTTGACTGGGATGTAATTGAAAGTAGTAAGATTTTGTAACGCAGGAATAAAGAAAATCATCAAACCATCAATTCTAGCATACAGGAGGCCACCTAAATTATATACAGTCGTACCTCTGGTTACATACGCTTCAGGTTACAGACTCCGCTAACCCAGAAATAGTACTTCGGGTTAAGAACTTTGCTTCAGGTTGAGAACAGAAATTGTGCTCTGGTGGCGCGTCAGCAGCAGGAGGCCCCATTAGCTAAAGTGGTGCTTCAGGTTAAGAACGGACCTCCAAAACGAATTAAGTAATTAACCCGAGGTACCACTGTGATTTGCTATTTGAACAATTGGTATTAGTAATTGTATTATAATTTGGTATTGTTATAACGAGGGTATTATTGGATTGAAATTGAAAATTAATAAGAAATATGATATAAAAAAAAGATTCATGCATTGCAGGAGGTTAGAACCCGGGGGGGGGGTGAACGGAGCCAAAGTAAAGATGAGTGTCTTTTGCAGGTACTGCAAGCTGTACAATGAAGGTACCTGACACACATCTGTGGGCAGGGAATTCCTTCTGGCCCATCTGTGGGGAGCAGCCCTCTGTAGGGGCTGCTACAGAAAAAGCTCTCTCTTGGGCTGCCTCTCCCCCAGGAATGAGGGTGGCGGAACAGATGTCAAGGAATGAGGGTGACACCCCCCTCTGCTGATCTTAACCCCTGAGAAAGTATGTAAGGGAGGAGACAGTCTTTCAGATTCCTCTTGTAAACTTTGTTCCATACTGTTAACCACTCTCTACCGTTATCCCTTACAGTTTTCGGCCAGCGGCTACATCTCTGCCATCATGGTGAAATCATGTTGTGCAATAAACTGCAACAACAAATTTTTGCTGGGCAACAATATCTCATTTCACAGGTAAGGTGCCCTTAGGCTTGAACTGAATTTTCTCCATACTTGGTACATTCCCTGCATATAGAAAGCTAGCAAATAATGGAGGATGTGCAGTGAGTGATGTGGCAGCTTCACTGGTCTGATCTGGCAGGGCCCTTCTAACAATTTTTATGAGGATAGTTTATAATTATGGCTTCTTCCTGATGTACTAAGCAAGGAATCTTTAAATACATGTACCATATCTTTTCCTCTATAAAACTAAAAAGTAAGGGGAAATGTGTGTGCATCTTATGGAGCGAATGCAGGCTGCACAGCTATCCCAGAAGCCAGAACAGCAAGAGGGATTGCTGCTTTCACTGCGCAGCGATCCCTCTTGCTGTTCTGGCTATATATTATTAACTAGATAAGGGTTTAACGTTCTATCATGTGAGCATTGAAATTATGTGAGCACCCGACCTGCAGTCTGAAATGGCACTGTCTGCATACAGCTTTGACTGCAAGCTCATTTTCCCCCATTGCTGAGCTGCCATCTCCACTCTGTGGTACCCCTCCACTGGCCCTGGTGATGTTCTGCTGCTCATCAGTTGCACTTCAGGAGAGAGCCAGGGCATAGGAAGAGTGCTGGGGACCACCTTCAGAGACTTGGTGAGCTGGATTAAGCCCACAAACTGGTAGTTCTCCATCCCCAAACTAAATCTGTAATCAACACGTTGATGCTGGCGTTGCACGGAGAGGTACCGTATTTTTTGCTCTATAAGACGCACCAGACCATAAGACGAACCTAGTTTTTGAAGGAGGAAAACAAGAAAAAAAATATTCTGAATCTCAGAAGCCAGAACAGCAAGAGGGATTGCTGTTCTGGCTTCTGGGATAGCCGCGCAGCCTGCATTCGCTCCATAAGATGCACACACATTTCCCATTACTTTTTAGGAGGGAAAAAGTGAGTCTTCTAGAGCAAAAAATACGGTATCTTTTCTTAGAAGCCAGCCAGTGTTCCTGCTTCCTTGCTCCTCTGTCCCCCTCCATCAACATCTGTGGCCCCATCTGCACTATAACTTTAAAGCAATATCATACCTAGGACCCACGTACCTACGGAACCGCTTCTGGTATGTCCTGCGGAGGACCTTAAGGTCCACAAATGACATCACTTTGGAGGTCCCAAGTCGCAACGTGGTTAGATTGGCACTAGGGCCAGGGCCTTTTCAGTACTGGCCCCGACTTGGTGGAACGCTCTGTCACATGGGACTTGACATCTTTCTGCAGGGCCTGCAAGACAGAGCTGTTCTGCCTGGCCTTTGGTTTGGACTCAGTCTGACCCTCCCCTTATGGTTTTGATCTTTGGGTTACTATTAAAATGAGGCTGTATTTTAATTTGTATTTTTAACCTGTATTTTAAATTGGTTCCCCCCCCAATATGTTTTTATTGGATTGTACATATTGGTTTCCCCCCCCCCATATGTTTTAATTTATATTTTTTATTGTAATTTTACTGGCGTTAGCCACCCTGAGCCCGGCTCTGGCCGGGGTAGAAATTATTATTATTATACTCTAAACAGTCTGTTGGAGCACTTGGGCATGGTCAGGAAACAGCTCCAAATGTGAGAGGCCTGAGCAAGTTCACTTTGCACCAGTGAAAGGGAAAAATAGAAGGCAAACTTAAGTCAGTGGCTTCATTTACTGACAGGCTTGAGCATACACAGTTACACATGTTTGCAGAGTCTCCTGCTAGAACACTAGCAGGGGTACTCCTTTAGATGGAGAATTGCCACCTGGACTGCGCAGCAAAACACTCAGCAAAGTACAGATCCAGGTTGCAGGTTCATATGTAGCTCCAAGCACAGCACACAGCCCAGCAGCAGTGAGCAGGTAGGTGTCATACAGCAGAGATATTATGCAGCAGATAGAATTTGCTAGTCTAGTTCCTCTTAAATAGGCAGGACAATCACATTCTGGCCAGTTGCCAGTTGCTGATTCAGCAGTTGCCATTCAGATTTGGCCAGGTATAAGCAATCAGCAATCTTGCACTTAAAACCAGCTGCAAGCAATCAGCACTTATATTTTTCCTGGGTGAGAGTAAACCTTCTTCAACACAGTCATGGCTTCTCCCAAAGAATTCTGGGAGCTGTAGTTTGTTAAGGGTGTGGAGAGTTCTTAGGAGAACCCCCTATGCTCCTCACAGAACTATAATTTACAGAGTTCCCTGGGGAGAGGGATTGGCTGTCAAACCTCTGGAGATTGTAGCTCTGTGAGGGAGAATGTGCTAAACTAGATGGATCAAGGGTCAGACTAAAGGTCAGGCAGTACTTGCTGGGATAGCTCAGTTGGTTAGAGCGTGGTGCTAATCACACCAAGGTTGGAGGTTCAATCCCCACGTGGGCCAGTTGCGTATTCCTTCATGGCAGAGGGTTGGTCTAGAATATGATCCTGAGGTCCCGTCCATCTCTCTGATTCTATCTCTCTCTCTATCTAATTATAGCCGTGTGTGTTTGTTTCATAGTTATGAGCACAGTTTCTGGGTATCTGTGAGGAGAGGAGTTTGGGACTTTAATCCATTTGTGCTTTGTGTGTCTGCTCCCTGTGAACACATTGTATGAAATGGAACATGAATGCAGTATTTAATTGCCATACACACACACACACACACACACACACACACACGGGGCGCGGGTGGCGCTGTGGGTTAAACCACAGAGCCTAGGACTTGCCGATCAGAAGGTCAGCGGTTCAAATCCCCGCAACAGGGTGAGCTCCCATTGCTCGGTCCCTGCTCCTGCCAAACTAGCAGTTTGAAAGCACGTCAAAGTGCAAGTAGATAAATAGGTACCACTCCGGCAGGAAGGTAAACAGCGTTTCCGTGAGCTGCTCTGGTTCGCCAGAAGCAGCTTAGTCATGCTGGCCACATGACCCAGAAGCTGTATGCCGGCTCCCTCAGCCAATAAAGCGAGATGAGCACCGCAACCCCAGAGTCGGTCACAACTGGACCTAATGGTCAGGAGTCCCTTTACCTTTATACATACACACACACACACACACACACACACACAGAGTGGACGCTGGGGTTGCGAACATTATCGTTGCGGGATGCGTGTTCATAACCCACAGTATTCGCAACCCGCGTCTGCGCACGCATGGGTTGCGATTCGGCGCTTCTGCGCATGTGCAAAGCTCGATTTAGCGCTTCTGGCACATGCGCGACCGCCAAAACCCGGAAGTAACCCCTTCCAGTACTTCTGGGTTTCGTCGGTCCGTAACCCGAAAATACACAACCTGAAGCGGCTGTAACCTGAGGTATAACTGTATATAACATACTTGTCATAGGTTTCCTCTGGGGAAAAAAGATCTGTTGAAAAAGTGGGTTTGGAACATCCGCCGCAAGAACTTCACTCCCACGCGGCACCATGTGATCTGCTCGGAACATTTTTGCGAGACAGACTACCTTGAAAACGTAGCTTCCGGGAGGCGGTACTTAAAGCCTGAAGCGATTCCGACAATGTTTAACATACCCGAGCGGCTGAAGAAGGTAAATCTCACCATCCTCCCATCAATCTCGTGGATGGACGCCTTTGCTATACAGTATGATCATGCCTTACGCGGGGGGTCTGGCTCAGAGTGTTCTACATATATGCAGATATGTGTGTACTTGAACCCTTGGAGCCGTCCCTTCACAAGTATACCGGTTTCCCTGTGGCTGGCTTGCTGAAAGGGCCTTGCTGCCCCAAGGAACTCAGAGCCTCTCAAAATAGCTTCAACACACAGGAACCCTTTCCTCCTTAGAGAGAATAATCTTTGCTTCTCTGCCTTCCTTGGGGAGCAAGGTGCTCTCTGTGCTCTGACTCCAGATGCCCTGGGATGTTCTTGTGAGATCTCATGGGAGCACCTTAGACCCAGCGTGTAGAGAGGGCCTTTATGACTTACATAGCTGCAGGTGGTATGCCTCTGAATACTACTTGCTGGGAATCATAATTAGGGAGTGTGCTGGTGTGCTTGTGTGCATGCTCTAGTTATCTCCCACTTGGACTACTGCAATGTGCTCTACATGGGGCTACCTTTGAAGGTGACCCGGAAACTACAACTAATCCAGAATGCGGCAAACAGACTGGTGATTGGGAGCAGCTGCCGAGACCACATAACACCGGTCTTGAAAGACCTACATTGGCTCCCAGTACGTTTCTAAGCACAATTCAAAGTGCTGGTGCTGATCTTAAAAGCCCTAAACGGCCTCAGCCCAGTATACCACCCCCATCGTTCAGCCCAGACTCTGAGGTCCAGTTCCGAGGGCCTTCTGGCGGTTCCCTCCCTGCGAGAAGTGAGGTTACAGGGAACTAGGCAGAGGGCCTTCTTGGTAATGGCACCCGCCCTGTGGAACGCCCTCCCATCAGATGTCAAGGAAATAAACAACTGTTTGACTTTTAGAAGACATCTGAGGGCAGTCCTGTTTAGGGAAATTTTTAATGTTTGATGTTTTATCTTGTTTTTAATATTCTGTTGGGAGCTGCCCAGTGTGGCTGGAGAAACCCAGCCAGATGGGCGGGGTATATTATTATTATTATTATTATTATTATTATTATTATTATTATTTATTATTATTATTTATTATTATCATCCCATAGTACAATGGTAGGCCACTACTGAAAGTTTTATTTTCATACAGGGCGGTAAAAAGAGGCGGCCCCACGTCCGCCGTGATCCTCCACCAAGCCGTCAGCTGAAAACCAAGGAGAGCGATGCAGAAGTGCCTTCCCCTGGGAGCGATGTTGTGGGGCTGGAGCACTCCTACTCTCTCCCAGCCAGTCCAGGTAGGTCAGCGACTAAACGTCACAAAAGGCGCTGCTGGAATACAGCTTTCTGTAAAAAGAGACCGAGCGTATGAGTTTGTGGAATGCTCTCCCCAGGGAGGTTCGGCTGGCACCTTTATTATATACCTTTAGGCGCCTGGCAAAAATGTTCCTCTTTAGCCAGGCCTTTGGCTGACGCCCTTTTGAAATGTGTTTGGGGTGTGTGTGTTATTGGATTACGTATTTTGTGATTTTCTCTTGTGAACCACCCTGAGACCTGCAGATAAATTGTGGGAAAGTTAAGGATAATAGGAGAGGATATGGTGATTAAATATTATCACTCATGCTAGTGAGTCACGTAGCAGAACAGATTCCCCTCAATTCAGCAGGAAGCAAGTTTGCAGATTTGTTTGAATCTCTTTAGTTAAGCAATCCAATCTGGCTTGCCCAGATGGATTATTCCTGGTGTCCCCTTTTATCTGTCTTAAAAGAATAAAGACACAAGAGTCTTTCCTTAACAGTAACAAGAAGTTTGGGATGCGGGTGGTGCTGTGGGTTAAACCACAGAGCCTAGGACTTGTCGATCAGAAGGTCAGCGGTTCGAATCCCTGCGATGGGGTGAGCTCCCGTTGCTTGGTCCCTGCTCCTGCCGACCAAAAGCATGTCAAAGTGCAAGTAGATAAATAGGTACTGCTCTGGCAGGAAGGTAAACGGCGTTTCCGTGCACTGCTCTGGTTCGCCAGAAGCGGCTTAGTCATGCTGGCCACATGACCCGGAAGCTGTACGCCGGCTCCCTCGGCCAGTAAAGCGAGATGAGTGCCGCAACCCCAGAGTCGGCCGCGACTGGACCTAATGGTCAGGGGTCCCTTTACCTTTACCTTTAACAAGAAGTTTACTTGCATTCAGTTCACAGCACGATCCCTGAAGGCAGACTTTAGCTAGTAGTTACATAGCAAAGTGTGAGTTCATCCCATATGGGGACTGAGCCCATGTGCTGCTGGCTGAGAGCCAGCAGACAGCCAAATACATTACGAGAACAGCATCAAGAGAAGAAAAGGGTTGCAGGGGAGCAGGATGGCAGCAAGAGGAATATGGCTGCGCGACTCGGCTTTTTTATGGGGTCAGCCAGGGTCACGCCCATCTACCTGTTCACATGCAGGGGGAGAACGCTGCTGACCGGTGGAACAGGAAGTTACGCTGGCTGGAGTAACACCCCCCCTGCATGTGTTCACTCTAGGAAAACAATGAATGTTGTATTTGACTGCTCCAATGGATTAGTAAAGGTAAAGGAACCCCTGACCATTAGGTCCAGTCGTGACCGACTCTGGAATTGCGGCGCTCATCTCGCTTTATTGGCCGAGGGAGCTGGCGTACAGCTTCCGGGTCATGTGGCCAGCATGACTCTGGCGAACCAGAGCAGGGCACAGAAACGCCATTTACCTTCCCACCGGAGCGGTACCTATTTATCTACTTGCACTTTGACGTGCTTTCAAACTGCTAGGTTGGCAGGAGCAGGGACCGAGCAACGGGAGCTCACCCCGTCGTGGGGATTCAAACCGCCAACCTTCTGATCGGCAAGTCCTAGGCTCTGTGGTTTAACCCACAGCGCCAATGGATTACATCCCACATAAATAAAAATATTTTATTATTGAGCAGCATAATTTATAGTTTTCTATTGAGCCAAGTGAATTGACCATCAAATGCCCGCATCCTGGTATTCACCTCTTGTCCTTAAAAACTGTTAGCCCGGGATCTTCGCTTGGCATCTGTGCGGGAGCACGGCCTGACTGACCCCACGGCAGGAAAAGGCCCTCGCTTCCTCCAGCCCAGGCCTTGGAGGGAATGCAGGGAGAGGACATGGCAAAACATCTCGGAGGAGCCCGTCGACAACTCCGACGCCCATCGCCAACGTTTCCGCCAGTTCCGCTACGAGGAGGTCAAAGGGCCCCGAGAGCTTTGCGACCGGCTCTGGGACCTTTGCCACCAATGGCTGAAGCCCGGGAAGCACACCAAACTGCAGATTCTGGAGCTGGTGATCCTGGAGCAGTTCCTGGCCAGTCTTCCCTGGGAGATGCAGGATTACGTCAAGGAAGAGCAACCAGCAAACTGTGATAGTGCCGTGACCCTTGCCGAGGATTTCCTGAAGAGAAGGCAAGGGGAAGAGGTGAGTTCATTTCCCCTATGGCGGATCCAGGCCACTGAGACTGGTTGCACAAGCTGAAAGCATAGAGTTCCAACAAGAGTAAAGGTAAAGGGACCCCTGACCATTAGGTCCAGTCGTGGCCGACTCTGGGGTTGCGGCGCTCATCTCGCTTTATTGGCTGAGGGAGCCGGCGTACAGCTCGGTCACGTGGCCAGCATGACTAAGCTGCTTCTGGCGAACCAGAGCAGCGCACAGAAACGCTGTTTACCTTCCCGCCAGAGCGGTACCTATTTATCTACTTGCACTCTGACGTGCTTTCGAACTGCTAGGTGGGTAGGAGCTGGGACCAAACAATGGGATCTCACCCCGTTACGGGGTTTCGAACCGCCAACCTTCAGATTGGCAAGTCCTAGGCTCAGTGGTTTAACCCACAGCGCCACCTGTGTCCCCTTCAAACAAGAGTAGCCATCTCAAAGGCAAAGAAGCTGAGTATTGAGCATAGACTCAGGCAGAGCTGCAACAGGGAACCTCTTGTGTGGGTGATATGTGTACTGGTGTGCCCTGTTTGGGTTATTCCTTCAGAGACGCTGAGTACAGCTGGTTTAAACTGGTTCTGCTTTTTCTTTCAGTCAAGGTCATGCTGTCTATAATAAGAGGCCAGAAGGAGCCTGGCTTTCTACTTTCTCTTTCTATATCTTTTCCGCCTGGTATGGTGTTCTGTATGCTTAGTGTTAATATTTAGTCTTATTCTAAGTTATCGTAAGTTTAAGTTAACTCTGCTGCAACTGGATTTCTTATGGACAGTGCCAATCCTGAATGTATTGGATTTCTGACCGTTATGCTCATTTGCCTTCAGTAGCAGTAAAGCTCTGCTACTGCTGGTCTATTTTTGAGAATCCTGCAGCGTGTTTAACTGCTAACTATACATTGGAATCCACTCTGGATCAATATTGAGTAGACTTTCAATGACAAATTCCTGTCCTAAAGCACAAGCCTCGGATGACTGCCTAGATCAGCCTTTCTCAACCTGTGGGTCCCCAGATGTTGTTGAACTACAGTTCCCATCACCCCTAGCTAGCAAGGCCAGAGCTCAGGGATGATGGGAGTTGTAGTCCAACAACATCTGAGGACCCACAGGTTGAGAACCGCTGGCCTAGATTTTCACCCAGGCTTCTGCAGGCTTCTCATTGCAGCAACTGGCTGGCCGTTGTGGGAACAGGATGTTGGCATGGGTGGGCACCCGGCCTGATCCAGCAGTCAGGCTTTTATTGCGTTCTTAACACTGCCACATTGACGGCCGCTGCCTCGCCAGCAGACATAGTGCCACACACACCTGAAGGGACAGAGCCGATCCCTTTCTGGGCTGCGCTGCCTTCTCTCCCTCAACCATTTTCCTGTTTTTAGGTGCGGAGGCCGCTGGCCGAGATGGCGGCCAATCTCCCTGAGTCCGAGAAGGCTCCCTCGGAGGTGCGGCGTTCGCTGCGGGTCAGGAGGCCCACCAGGAAGGGAGATGGAAGTTGTGCTTTGCTGGGTAACAATTCTTTGTGCTTCCCTTGTGGCGGGTGAAGGGGAAAATCCAAGCCATCCAGGTGTTGCTGGACTCCCATCGTACATTGACATTGCTTGCAAAGGCTGATGGGAGTTGTAGTTCTGCAGGGCCAAAGGTTCCCCCCTCCTGTTCCTATGACATGTCTTTTCTCTCGCCTCCTCCGTTGCCTGCCTGGCATTTTGAGGGCTGCTGTCACAAGATTCTAGTCCTGTGTGAGGGGCAATTCTTTTCCCCAGCCTGTCACAAAAAAGAATCTCTGTTTGTTTAGATGTAGGAGGACTGGGCTGTTACTTTATCTGTAAAGGGAGCGGCCATAGCGCAGTGGTAGAGCATGCAGGAAATCCCAGGTTCAACCTCCCCAATGGTGTCTCCAGGTACGGCTGGGAGAGACCCCAGTCTGTAATTCTGGGCAGCTGCTGCCAGTCAGTGTGGACACTTCTAAACTAGATGTGCCAGTGGACTCCTAACTAAAACAGTGCAGTCAGAATCTAAAATGGAGTTATTTTTAGGACACCGTAGCCACCTATGGAAGCGAACCAGTGCTATTTTTCTAGAACACCACGAACACCTCCTTTGTTCTCTTGAACCTCGGTTTTTGCGCATCTCGGAAGCCCAAACGATTCGGAACCTGAACACCAAAAGTCCAGAAGTAATTGCTTCTGTTTTCGAACGCGCCTCAGAAGTCAAATGGCTTCCACTGCATGTTTTTCTATTTTTTTCATTGGATTTTGCCGACTGCCCATTGATCCTCAGTTTTCGAACATTTCAGAAGTCAAACGGTCATCCGGAACGGATTACGTTCGAAAACCAAGGTTCTGCTGTAACGGCAATGGCGGGCACCTGAGAGTTCCGGAAAGTTCCGGCTGGAAAAAGAAAGCCCTGAAGCAAACCATATATATTGCAACCTTTGGCCATTGGTTTCCTAGGTGATTTCTTGAGTGAAAGAGAGAGTTTTTCTCTTCTTCCTTAGAATTAATTTCCCCCGTCTCTGTCTGTCTTGATCCTCCAGAAGATGAGCCTGCGAGCGACAACAACCAGGCAGAGATCATTCAAGCCGAAGTCCCTGCATCTGAAGAAGTCGTGTCTCAGGAGGAAGTTTCCTCCGTGACTGAGGCTGCTGAAAGTGGGTACTCATTAAATATGGTGTTCGTTTAATAGAAGCAATCTCTCTCGAGAATGGATCTGGAGCCGCTATTTGTCATACTGCCCTGAGTAAAGGGAGCGGCGCTTAGATCTGGGCCTTGTCTGTAGGCCTAAGCTTGCCAGGGTTTCGAAGGATTAAGAATGTAAGACCAGCACTCATATTTTACCTCATGGAAGGAAAGAAGGGAGTAACCAAGAGAGGAATTCTCAGAGGTCCACTGAGAGGAGAGTGATTTATTTGACCTTTGCTTGCTTGCTTGCTTCTTTCTTATTTATTTATTTATTTTTATTCCTCTGCCCCCGTTATTTTATTTTATTTTATTTTAGCAAAGTAATAAGCTTAAATAATAAAAATGTGCACCGCACCCCCGAGACCATTCCATTGTAACTATCCAACCTCCCAAAATTTCAGCACCTCCTGTGATGGTTTGACCCCTTTCCGTTTTAACAGTACAAATTCTACAAACACCCTCCGTATCGCCTCAAAATCATTTCTCCTGCATATTCCCCGTCTTACCTTAATGGCACATGTTAACTTATCGTTAATAGCTTTATCCCACACCTCTTTATACCATTCTTCCATTGTATATTCTGCATGCCCCTTCCACTTCCTAGCTATCATAATTCATGCAGCTGTCAATAAATTTGTGAGCAAGTCCTTCCTAGCCTGCGAACCTTCCACCCCATCGTAAATTGATAATGATGCTACCTCTGGACTTTTGGTCGGCTTTAACCCGGTGATTTCTGTTATCTCCTTAAACACCCTTTGGCAGAAAAATTGTACTTATTTACACCCCCACCACATGTGAACAGAATTCCCTGTTTCCTGGCATTCCCTCCAACATAACACGGAATATTCCTTGTTTATTTGATTTAATCTAACTATATCAGATTAAATCAGGTCAGACCATTGCTTATTTATTAGTTTCATTTTAAATATATTGAGGTTCATTTTCTTTCTTTTTAGTGTTTGATGTTTTATTGTGTTTTTAATATTCTGTCGGGAGCCACCCAAAGTGGCTGGGTTTAGGTTGATTTTCTGAGCAGATACCCATTCCAGAGCCACTTACAATCACAAAGCAACTTCAACGTTAATCAGAAATTGCGTGTATTTGGCTGTATCCCTTGTACCCCCATTTCTGCACAGCAGTTTTCAGGCTCCATTTCCTCCCCCCTCTCTCATCCTTATAGTTGTGCCGGTGAGCGATGGTTGGCAGAGCGACGATGAAGGGGAGCTGTGTGGGGCACCGTGCGAAGGAAGCGAGGGCACAGAGATGGAGGAGAACTCCAGGGGTCTGGGAAGAACAAAGAGGCGACAGGGATCTGAGGCACCTGAGAAGGGGAAGAAGAAACGGGCAGGTAGTCTCTTATTTCTATTCACTTATTTATTTTTGCTACCCCGCTCTTCATCCTGAGGTCCCAGGGTAAGTCACAATGATGTAAAATGCTGTTCCTAGGATTAGTCTGATTGGTGTCCGAAAGACTGAGCGCTAAGCAAAAATAAGTATTTTACTTTTTTAATCTTCTCTTTTTTTTTAGCGAAGTAGTGAAATATTGCAAACATTTGCCACAAACAGGTTCAGTAGATCTGAGGAAGTGAAGGCAAGGGAGGCGAATTAGAGTAAGGGATCTCTTGTGTGACAGTGAAAGGGAGCGAGATAGCACTCCCAGTGGTCAAAAGTCCCCCAAATTACCCCAAATTGGGTAGGGCACAAGGTTTATTAACACATAGCTATGGTAACAGAGAGCTGCAGAGGAGGCGCATTCAGAGACTTGTCAAGACAGGCCCGGAAGTGGACTAAAAATAAAATATGGATGAAATTTGCCCGAGTCTGTGGGCATCAAAAGTGGCCTTTGCCTCTTGGCCACTTCTGGCGAATTCTCCTCAGGGTGCTTTGCTCTTGCAGAGGCAAACGGACAGCACCATTCCCAACACTTCGGCGAGAGAGACGGCTGCGCAGACCCCGATGATGACGTCGTTGTTCTCTTGAAACCATTTACGGGCGGAGACCACGCAGCCCGTCTTCCTCACCGGCCAGCTGTCAAAGGCGCCGGAAGGAGCGTCCAGGGGGCAGAAGCCTATCGCTGCCTCCGAGCTGGTGGCGTTGACGCCGCAGGAGCAAGGGTAGAGTGTGTAATTTCTTTCCTGGAGGAAGAGGTTCAGCTTCCAGTTTTCCGGCCCGATCCATCCGCAGCAAGACATCTTGGATTGGAAGTAGTCCCAGGCCAGCATGGCGGACCTGTTGGTTTCGTGCCTCAGGTCGTAGTACCGGATGAGGTGGAGGACAAAGGTGGGCGTTTTTTCCTTCATGGCCTGCGCACGGTGGTAGACGAGCAAGAAGGTGGTGGCCTGGGCCGCCAGGAGCAGGAGCAGGCCGAAGAAGTAGAGCCCCAAGAAACAGCGGCTCCCGCTGAAGGCCCCCACGCAGCCCAGGAACCCCATCACCATGGTGACGGCCCCGACGCCAATCAGGGTGTAAGGCACGATGTTCATGGTGGACGTCGAAATCTGCAGGATGGTGATGAAGTTTCTCTTGTCGAAGAAGAGCCATAGTCCGGAGCCCATCAGCATGGCCCCCAGGACAAAGAAGAGGTGGTTGAAGAAGAAGAGGCTGTAAGCAGTGGCTTTCTGATAGATGGGCTTCATCTTCTCACAGACGCAGCTTCCTTCTGTTTCGGAACTCGGAACCTCCAGGACAGACACACAAACACACAGTTCAACAGCTGTACGGGCTTGGATGAGCCAAAGAACAGGTGCCTGAGAGCACCTGGGCTCACAGCTTTTTTTATTATCGTCTAGCCGCCTTTGAGTTCTGCGCCCCAACCCCTCTTGTTTTGTAACATCTGCCACTTCATTTATGTGGTCTTTTCCCCCTCTCCCCCTCCCCTTTCTGGAAGTGGAGCGCTCAGAAGTGGCCTTCCTCCCCCTGTCGTCTGACGTGGTACATTCCATTTGATTTCCTCACTTCTAACCTGATGGCCACTGGTCAGGGATGATGGGAGTGGAAAATTCAGCAACATCTGGAGGGCTTGCTCTCTCTCTCTCTATATATATATATGTTGTTGTTGTTTAGTCGTTCAGTCGTGTCCGACTCTTCGTGACCCCCTGAACCAGAGCACGCCAGGCACTCCTGTCTTCCACTGCCTCCCACAGTTTGGTCACACTCATGCTGGTAGCTTCGAGAACACTGTCCAACCATCTCGTCCTCTGTCGTCCCCTTCTCCTTGTGCTCTCCATCTTTCCCAACATCAGGGTCTTTTCCAGGGAGTCTTCTCTTCTCATGAGGTGGCCAAAGTAGTGGAGCCTCAGCTTCACGATATGTCCTTCCAGTGAGCACCCAGGGCTGATTTCCTTCAGAATGGAGAGGTTTGATCTTCTTGCAGTCCATGGGACTCTCAAGAGTCTTCTCCAGCACCATAATTCAAAAGCATCGATTCTTTGGTGATCAGCCTTCTTTATGGTCCAGCTCTCACTTCCATGCATCACTACTGGGAAAACCATAGCTTTATATAAATCTGTCCATCTCTTTAGAACAATAAAAATACAAATTTAATTTGTATTTATACCCTGCTTGTCATCAAATGGTCTGAGATGAGTTACAGAAATATAGCAATGAAAATAACTGCAATATATCAATAGAATACTTGCCTTTGACTTTCAGGTGTCTCAACAGGCCTATGTAGTTGTTTATAATTTCCTTGAGTAGCTATTTACTTTAGCAGTTCTGTTAGGGTTGTGATAAGTCAATAATAATAATAGTAATAATACACTTATTATTACAGTGGTACCTTGGAATTCAAATTGCTTGGCTCCTGAATAAATCAGCTCCCAAACGCCGCAAACCTGGAAGTGAGTGTTCCAGTTTGCGAACGTTTTTTGGAAGCCGAACTTCCGACGCCTTGGTTTGCAAACCGTTTCGGGAGTCGAATGGACTCCCGGAACAGATTAAGTTTGACAACCAAGGTACCGCTATGTTGTTGTTGTTACACCCCACTCATCTGGCTGGGTTTCCCCAGCCACTCTGGGCAGCTTACAGCATATCTTAAAACATAATATAAACACCAGACGTTTGGGACATAGCCTGTATTCAGCCCCCTTAAGCACCTTTCCCTCTAAGGCATATGTGGTTCTCCCCCTCCTCATTTGATCCCCACAACAACCCTTTGAGGTGGGTTAGGCCGAGAAGCAGTGACTGGCCCAAGGTCACCCAATGAGCTTTATGACTGAGTAGGGGTTTGAACCCTGCTCATACTGCCACATCATACTGGCTTGCCAACTGTTTCATCCACGTGATTTTGCTTTGCTTTTCAATTTATTACATGATTTTTATTGCACTCCCCACATTTAAACTGCTCTGGAGCACAATTTCACTCTAGGGCGGCATCTAAATATTTAAGACAAGTGGCATAAACATACTGTTGCTAGTATCATAATTGAATCAATTTGACTTTAAATGTGTTTGTGGGTAGAAGCAATTTGACTTTGAAGTCAAATGCATCCTTTTTAGCTGAAGCACATATGTGTGTTAGAAGCGTTTCCCCTTGTGCTGAAGGAAGAATGTCTCTTTTAAGATGGGCTTCAAAAAACAATTTCCTCTCATGTACAGGAGAGGGAGGGATATTCTAAAAAAAAAAAAGGTGCAGATTCTCTTAAGTTTCTTGGGGGTTTCCCAAAGACCAGCCGCCGTGTGAGAACAGGCTGATGGGCCAGATGAGTCTTCGGTCTAAACTAGCAGGCTCTTTTCATGGTTTTTATGTTGCATTATCCAAGCAGAACACCACATTACACACACGTACACACACACACACACACACACGGAGAAGCTATCAGTGGGCTTGGTGAAACCCCAAGGCTTTCAGAAATACAAAAAATCCCTAAGGTAGAATCCACGCTTCCAAAAAGCCCAATGTGGATGTCGCATGCTGACAGCTGGGGACCGGGGGACCCAGAAAATCAGATGGGAGAGGCAACGGAATGGAGTCTCGTAGGAGGGGGTATGGCTGGCCAACCAGAAGAACACTCCACACTGTAATGTTTTAATTGCCGGACCCATTTGTGACACTCTTTTCTCTCATTTTGTTCTAGCAGGCAATGATCAAGGGCCAGGGAATGAAGAGGAGAGTCAGCTGGAAACAGCCGAGCGAGGAGGAGAAGAAACTTTGGGGACAGTCAGCGGGAAATCTCCCCAGGGTCTTAAGACTGAAGGGACACCTGGAATCCTGCAGCACACAGAGCATCTGAAGGAGTTACCAGCGAAAGAGAATCCGTATAAGTGCCTCTCCTGCGAGGAAAGTTTCCATAAGCGGTCTCAGCTGGTTATACACCAGAGGGGTCATGCTGGAGAGAAACCATACAGTTGCTCCCAATGTGGCCAGGGTTTCTCTTCCCGCCCCGAACTTCTCGGCCACGAGACAAGCCACACAGAAGAGAAACCGTATCAGTGCTCGGACTGCGGGAAGAGCTTTCGGGAACAAGCCTACGTTGTCCAGCACAAGAGGATCCACACGGGGGAGAGGCCGTTTACGTGCTCCGAGTGCGGGAAGAGCTTCTATCGCAGAGGGTCCCTTATTCTACACGAGAGAATCCACACGGGAGAGAAGCTGTACAAGTGCCCGGACTGTGGGAAGAGCTTCAATCGGAAGCCGCACCTTGCCGTGCACAGGAGAATCCACACGGGGGAGAAACCCTACGAATGCTCCGACTGTGGGAAGAACTTCACCGTGAAATCTGCCCTCAACGTGCACATGAGGACCCATTCCGAAGAGAAGCCGTACCAGTGCTCCGAATGCGGGAAGAGCTTCCGCGAGAAAGGGACCCTCAACATACACAAGCAGAGCCACACGGCGGAGAAGCCGTTTCAGTGCTCCGAGTGCAGGAAAGTGCTTCCGCTACGCAGCATCGTTCCGGAGACACAAGAAGTCCCATTCGGTAGGACCCGTTTTGAAATCCTACGAATGCCCCGAGTGCGGAAAGAGCTTTGGCCGCAAAGATTACCTTATCACACACCGGAGAATCCACACCGGAGAGAAGCCGTACATGTGCTCCGTGTGCGGGAAGAGCTTCAACCACGGCGCGACCCTCGTCACACATAAGAGGACTCACACGGGAGAGAAGCCGTACGAGTGCTCCGAGTGCGACAAAAGCTTCAAGCAGATTTCGGGCCTTATAACACACCGGAGAACCCACACGGGAGAGAAGCCGTATGGATGTTCCGATTGCGGGAAATCCTTCATCCTGAAATCGTACCTAGATGTGCATAAGCGGACTCACACCGGAGAGAGACCGTATCAGTGTTCACACTGTGGGAAAGGGTTCTCGTGCTCCTCTTACCTTTTAAGACATGAGAAAACCCACACTGGGGAGCGATCGCACATATGCTCTGACTGTGGCCAAAGTTTCCATTGGAAACGGTCCCTGATCATGCACATGAGGAAACATACAGGGGAGCAGAACGTACATGATTGCACCATCTGTGGCAAAAGCTTCAGCTGGTCGTCTGCTCTTAACGTACACATGAGAACCCACACCGGGGAGAAGCCGTACGTGTGCTCCGAGTGCGGGAAAAGCTTCAGTGGCAAATGGATCCTCATTCAGCACAAGAGAATCCACACGGGGGAGAAGCCGTACGAATGCCCCGAGTGCGGGAAATGCTTCCATGTGAAATCCTCTCTCCTCGCGCACCAGAGGACCCACACAGGGGAGAAGCCCCACGAGTGCTCCGAGTGCGGGAAGAGCTACAGCGTGAAAGCCAACTTCACCGCGCACATGCGGACGCACACGGGGGAGAAGCCGTACGAGTGCACCGAGTGCGGGAAAAGCTTCTACAAGAAAGACCGCCTCATGACGCACAAGAGGACCCACACGGGAGAGAAGCCCTACCAGTGCTCCGAGTGCGGGAAGGGCTTCAACTGGAAAGTTGGCCTGATCAACCACATGAGGATCCACACGGGGGAGAAGCCGTACGCCTGCGCCGCGTGCGGGAAGTGCTTCCACAAGAAGGACCACCTGGCGCGCCACGAGATCATCCACACGGGAGAGAAGCCGTACACCTGCTTCGACTGCGGGAAGAGCTTCAACCAGAAAGTCGCCCTCCTGGTGCACAAGAGGACCCACACGGGAGAGAAGCCCTACAAGTGCTCCGAGTGCGGGAAAAGCTTCAGCTGGAAAAAGTCCCTGATCACACACAAGGCGGCTCACACGGGAAAGAAGCCGTATCAGTGCTCGGAATGCACCGAAAGCTTCAGCAGGAGAGCCCAGCTTGCCGAACATGAACAGATGCACATAGGTGAGATGGAGTGGGATGATTTGCTTCTGTGAAGGCAGGTCGTTGCCCTGGGGGGAGCACCTCCTTTCCAGGTTCGACCCCAGGATCCCTGGATTAAAAGTAGTAGTAATTATAATAATAATATTTTATTTATTATTTATACCCCACCCACCTGGCTGGGTTTCCCCAGCCACTCTGGGCGGCGCCCAACAGAATATTAAAAACACCATCAAACATTAAAAACTTCCCTAAACAGGGCTGCCTTCAGATGTCTTCTAAAAGTCAGATATTGTTCATTTCCTTGACATCTGGTGGGAGGACATTCCACAGGGCAGGCGCCACCACCGAGAAGGCCCTCTGCCTGGTTCCCTCTAACCTTACTTCTTGCAGTGAGGGAACTGCCAGAAGGCCCTTGGAACTGGACTTCAGAGCTGGACCCTTGGGCTGAACGATGGGGGTGGAGATGCTCCTTCAGGTATACTGGGCTGAGGCCATTTAGGGCAGGGGTCAGCAAACCTTTTCCGCAGATGCCTGGTCCACTGTCCCTCAGACCTTGTGGGGGGCCAGACTATACTCTGAAAAAATTCCTATGCCCCACAAATAACCCAGAGATGCATTTTAAATAAAAACACACATTCTACTCATGTAAAAACATGCCGATTCCCAGACCGTCCACGGGCCGGATTTAGAAAGGGATTGGGCTGGATCCGGCCCCCAGGCCTTAGTTTGCCTACCCATGGTTTAGGGGTTTAAAGGTCAGCACCAGCACTTTGAATTGTGCTCGGAAATGTACTGGGAGCCAATGAAGGTCTTTCAAGACCGGTGTTATATGGTCTCAGCGGCTGCTCCCAGTCACCAGTCTAGCTGCAGCATTCTGGATTAGTTGCAGTTTCCGGGTCACCTTCAAAGGTAGCCCCACGTAGAACACATTGCAGTAGTCCAAGCGGGAGACAACCAGAGCATGCACCACTCTGGCAAGACTGCGCACGCAAGAAGGGTCTTAGCCTGCGTACCAGATGGAGCTGGTAAACAGCTGCCCTGGACACAGAATTGACCTCCGCCTCCATGGACAGCTGTGAGTCCAAAATGACTCCCAGACTGTGCACCTGGTCCTTCAGGGGCATAGGTACCCCATTCACCTGCCCACCCCCCTTCTCCCAAAAACACTACTTCTGTCTTGTCAGGATCTCTGGCAGCATGCCAAGGAACAGCCCATAGCTCAGCCTCCTTTTTAACCATCCTATATGCCCTTTTAAAATGTGGCTCTTTCTTTTTTTGCAGGCGGGTGTTATTGGGTTGTTGTTTTTATTTTGATTATACAGTATATTGTGGTTTTTATGTCAATCTTTTCTGCGAACCGCCCTGAGACCTCTGAGTATAGAGTGGTATATGACTCCAATAAATGATAATAATAATAACCATCTCAGAACGTGACACGCCTACATCCTACTTGTCGTTCCCCCACCTGCCCCATTCGTGGTCTCCCCACTCCCCGTGAATAAAAACGCTGTAGCAGTTTATCTTTGTACATTTCAGGCTTCATTGCCGAATCTACGGAGCTCACCGTGGAGGAAATCAGCACCGCCGTGGTAAGGAAGAGCTCTCATTTAGCTTTGGCGAGAGAAGCTTTCAATTACAACGCATCATTATTTCCTCTGTGACAGGAATTGGGGAATGACCTTTTTCATTCCTTTCTGGGGAATCCCCTGGGGTCACATGACAGTGGTGGGTGGGCCCAGAGGGGGGCAGCCAATGAATTGTTACCTTTGCTCAGCCAGCGAGTTTTATGCCCGCTCCCTCACCTCCCTGGAGCTGTTGTCAGAGTTCAAGGAGACACTCAGAGGGTTACAAAGCCAGATCAGCAAGAGGGAGGCTTGGGGAGAAAGTGCGTGGCCTGGGGAGAATTCTGATAAAGAGTGACAATTCCCAGAATTCCCTGGGAAGAAGGACTGATTGTTTAGCCACCCTGGGAAATGGAGTTCTGGGAGAGGAACAGAGGGTCTCCTCAGCACCCATAACAGACTACAGATCCCAGGATCCTTTGGGGGAAGCCATGACTGCTTAAAAGAGACGCGGGTGGCGCTGTGGGTTAAACCACAGAGCCTAGGACTTGCTGATCAGACGGTCGGCGGTTCGAATCCCCGCGACGGGGTGAGCTTCCTTTGCTCGGTCCCTGCTCCTGCCCACCTAGCAGTTTGAAAGCATGTCAAAGTGCAAGTAGATAAATAGGTACCGCTCCAGTGGGAAGGTAAACGGCGTTCCTTGCGCTGCTCCGGTTCGCCAGAAGCGGCTTAGTCATGCTGGCCACATGACCCGGAAGCTGTACACCGGCTCCCTCGGCCAGTAAAGCGAGATGAGCGCTGCAACCCCAGAGTTGTCCGCGACTGGACCTAATGGTCAGGGGTCCCTTTACCTTTATCTTTACCTTTTATGACTGCTTAAAGTGGTGGACGTTGGGTGGCACTGTGGTCTAAACCACTGAGCCTCTTGGGCTTGCCAATCGGATGGTTGGCGGTTCGAATCCCCATGACAGGGTGAGCTCACATTTCTCTGTCCCACCTAGCAGTTTGCCAGGTCTGCCAACCTAGCAGTTCGAAAGCACGCCAGCGCAAGTAGATAAATAGGTAAACGGCGTTTCTGTGCGCTCTGGGTTCCCTCGTAGTTTCCTGTTGTGCCAGAAGTAGTTTAGTCATGCTGGCCACATGACCCGGAAAGCTGTCTGTGGACAAATGCTGGCTCCCTCGGCTTGAAAGTGAGATGAGAGCCACAACCACATAAGTCGCCTTTGACTGGACTTAACCGTCCAGGGGTCCTTTACCTTTACCTTTTAAAGTAATAATGCAGACGAGAGCCTTAAATTTAAACCACACCCAAGTCTGGATATGCCAAAGCTGCCCTTCCTTGGCTGGGCTGTGTAGATGATGTCTGTCTTACTCATAACACTCTTTGATTGTTCCAGATGAGCTTGGATTGCAATGCCATTATTCTGACCACTGCTGTATAGAGCAGGAAACATTGGGAAGCTGCACTTGGGTAAGACAAGCAACAGCCCATGTGTTGTGGAGCCTGGAGTTTTGTGTGAGGACCAGGGAGACAAAGGATCGAATCCTTGGTCCATCCACGGAGGTTCCCTTATGACAATAGGCCAGTTCCTCCTCCTTAGTTTATCCTCCATGTTGCAAGGATAAAACGAGGGTGAGGGAGAGTGGAGAAGCTGCTATATCCCACCAGGAGAATGGGATATAAGCACAGTAAATAGTAATAAATTATATTTATTCCTGTTTAGGGAAGCTTTTAATGTTTGATGTATTAGAGTATTTTAATATTTTTTTGGAAGCCGCCCAGAGTGGCTGGGGAAGCCCAGACAGATGGGCAGGGTATAAATAATAAATTTATTATTATTATTATTACTACTACTTTTAATCCAGGGATTCCTGGGGTCGAACCTGGAAAGGAGGTGGGCGGGGTATAAATAATAAATTATTATTATTATTATTATTCCCAGACCCCATTAAAAAATTCTGCTTTATTACCTTGAAATCCCTCAGATATCTTAAAAACCACCTTCTCCCTTAAGAACCTGCTGGTCACCCTTGTCCAATTGATTTTATTAATAAACTCTGGAGAGATGTTTATTAGCATACTGTTTAAGCAGAATAAATGTGTAGAAGTAGGATCTCCTTTTCAAATGCGCCTTTGCCTCCCAAACATTCTGATTGGTTTCAACATACAGTGGTACTTCGGTTTTCGAGTGTCTCGGAAACTGAACGTTTCGGTTTTCGAATGTCGAAAACCCGGAAGTAAATGCTTCCATTTTCAAACATTCCTCAGAAGTCAAACGGCTTCCACTGCATTTTTTCCAATTTTCTCCATTGAAACTGCAGACCGCTATTTGCGCCTCAGTTGTCAAACGTTTGGGCAGCCGAACGGTCTTCCGGAACAGATTATGTTCAGTAACTGAGGTACCACTGTATTCAGAAAGAATATGCTGTTAGAAACGACAGGTGTGAGGTATGAGGAAAGAACGACAAAGCTGTAAAAACAAATAGCTTCATTGAACATCAGAGGGTTGTCTCCAGCTTACTCAGAGTAGACTGATTGAAAACAATGGACATGACTAACGTAACTTCATTCATTTCCATGGGTCTGCTCTGAATACAACTTCATAGAATTGACAGCATAATAAAATTGACAACTTATTCCCTTTTGTATAGTAATTATATGTTCATATTACACTTTTTCCTTTGTATTTATAATCAACGCAATCAGGCAGTACTGTGAAATTTTGATAAAGAAGTATAGGTACAGGTACAGGTACAGCTAGGTCCCGCTATCCACCCACTCATTCTTGGAAAATTCACTTATCCGAGCATAAATAATTATGCTCAAACCAGCAGATTCAGATATCTAAATATCCAGATTTTGCCCACTTCCTTTCTTCCTTGTTCTTTGCTGGTCAACGGCAGCCATTTTTGGGCAGAAAGCATGCCGAGAGAGAGGGAGATTAGAAAAATCTGGGAGCAGAGAGATCGGACAAATTTGTTTTTCCTTTGTCTCTTTTTTGCTGGTTGGCTGCAGCCGTATCGGGAAGGAACCACAGAGATTGCACAAATCCCCAGTTAAAAATATTCCCATAGGAATCAATGGAAATCATAGACTTGTTATGCGAACACTCGCTTAACGAATGATTTCCAGGGAATGCAGTGTGTTCAGTAAGTGGGACCTGCGGGTATATAGATAGTGCACTCAGGTCAACAATGCAGACCCTGCCTTGTGTCTCCAGTGGCACAAATGATTATGGGAGTTGTAGTTTGCTAAGGGTTGTTGGATCCCTATTCCCCTTACAGAGCTACAGTTCCCAGATTTCCCTGTGAATAGGGATTGTCAAACCACTGAGAATAATAGTTCTCTGAGGGGAATAGGAGTCTCCTAACAAACTTCTACACCCTTAACAAGCTACAATTCCCAGAATACTCTGGGGGAAGTCATGGCTATTTAAAATAATATCATGGCGCTTTATATGCATGGTATGGAGGTGGCCAAAGCATAGTTATATACCGTATATGAAATACAGAATAAGTTATGCAAGTTAAGACCATGTTACATGATAATTTATACAAGACTCAAAAGCTTTGACTGGGGCAGAAATTAGATTTCCTAAATGCATAAATCTGTTTCATTTTGTTTTTTAAATAAACATAGCATTCACATAGTTGTGGATATTAATCTACAACTGTTCTAGGAACAGGTATTTTATTACTTGTGGAAAGGATCCTTGCAGATATTTTCATGCCCTGATATTAGAAAGATGTGTTTGTATATATATATTTTTTCTCTCTTAGCAAATCATTGTGATGCTCTTTTGTTTTCTTTCCCATGCAGGATTCTGGAAGCTAGCCAGTTTGCTGAACCTGATTTTTTTTTAAAAAAAGAAAAAGCTTTTTACATATGCCGCTGCAGCAGAGTATCTTTAACCTTCTCATGAATTCTGTGCGGAAACTCAATCCCTTTTCAGGGCTTGGTTATTTTGCAACTGCTTCAAAATTATTGAAATATCTCCCAAGAACATCTCCTCCCTCTCTCTCAATCCTTCTGGTCGTTGAAGCCCCCATCTGGCTTTTAATCCATGTCAGCACTATATAAAAACCCTTGTCTTCGCTTGCATTTTCCGAAGGATATAGCTCTGAATAAAACTCTTTAGAATCGAATGGGTGCATTGCATCTTCTGGCTTCTGTGTTTGGTTCTGCCTTGCCCAGTCTGTGCTTGAGCCAGAGATTTCTACGAGTTTATGCGTGCCACCTGCCTTTTAAACCTCTGGCCCTGGGAGTAAAAAGCGGCCCTCCAGACTTTTCTCTTCGGCCCTTTGAACTTTCCCCTACCACCCACCCCACACCCAGTGTCCCCAGGCTCTGTGACCTTGAATGGTGTTTTGCTTTTTTGCCTGGATGTAATATGGCCTTGGAACACGGGTGGCGCTGTGGGTTAAACCACAGAGCCTCTTGGGCTTGCCGATCAGAAAGTCGGCGGTTCGAATCCCCGCAATGGGGTGAGCTCCCATTGCTCAGTCCCAGCTCCTGCCAACCCAGCAGTTCGAAAGCACGTCAAAGTGCAAGTAGATAAATAGGTACCGCTCCAGCAGGAAGGTAAACGGCATTTCCATGCGCTGCTCTGGCTCCCTCGGCCAATAAAGCGAGATGAGCGCCGCAACCCCAGAGTCGGCCACGACTGGATCTAATGGTCAGGGGTCCCTTTACCTTTTAACATGCCCTTAAACTCTATGATTAATGTGTCTCTCTTGTTGAGATGCAGCACAGAGTGGTGTAGAAACTAAATCTGTATGTTGCTCTGCATACAAATTTGTATTTTTGCCTCTGGTGCCATGTGAGCCCTGTAAAATTTCCCTCTGGGAATGAAAAGAGTCCAATTCTACCAGCCCCACCTTAGACCAGTGTTTCCCAACCTTTTTTGGGCAAAGGCACACTTGTTTCATGAAAAAAATCTTGAGGCACACCACCATTACAGCCCCGTGACGTCAGCGCGCAGCGTCACGCCGGGAGGGACATGAATTGCTAGCAAATTACATAATCGCCTCCTTGAGGGCTGGCTCATCTTCTCCGAAGGCAGAACCCCATTAATTAACAGCACAGACTCACACCATAGCCAAGACGAGGGGGGAAAACCTCAGTCATGCACAGTCATGCACATGTGGGGGCTAAATGAGGACGAAGACCGGGCAGAGAGCAGGGTTCAAATCACCCCACCTGGCCAGGACAATCCCTGGGTGGTCCCTTGGGCCACTCGCCTGACCCACCTCGCAGGGCTGTTGTTGCGAGGATAACACGGGGAGAACCACGCGCGCCCCCGGGAGCTCCTTGGAGGAGAAAGCGGGCGATGAATGCAATGCACGAAATATATGAGAGGCGACCAGGTTTTGCAGGTGAGGGGCCCCCGCCAGCCTCCGCTTCCAACACCCGGCGCAACGACGCCGAAGTTTCCCCCCGGGCTCGGGGAGCAGCGCTGCTCCCCCCCGGCTCCCCTTCGCCCTCCCGGCTCTCTCTGCCGCCCACTGGGGACCCCCCTCACCTGCCAAGTCCGGAGCGCCGGTGGAAGTTGCATGCATGCATGCAGGGCGCCACGTTGCCATTGCATTGCACTGCACTCCATGCAACGCCTGCACGCATGCATTGCCTTGCATGCCCGCCAAGGGGTCTCCCCGCGGTCCGATGCGTCCCCTCCGGCGCGGATGCAGCATTGCAAAAATAAACCCCCCCCGACGCAGCCCTACCTGGGGGGCAGCCTCCGCCGCTCCGCCTCCGCGGGATCCCCGGCCTCCATCCTGCCGCCCGATCTCCGCGGGGGCGCAGGCAGGCTGTGCGGGGTCTGCGCGGAAGAGCTCCTGCCCGCCCGGCCGCCGCCGCCGCGCTCATTCCATGGCCGGGAGAAGAGCGCTTCAAACAAAACGCCCGGCCCGCCAGGCCACGCTGGGAAACGTAGTTTGCGCACCCCGCGCGGGCGCGGAGCCCAAGGGCGAGGGGACTACGGATCCCGGCAGCCCCCGCGCCGGGGACGGAGGGGGAGAGGCCGGGTGCAGGGATGGAGGGACGGGTGGGCGTGCGAGTGAGTGAGTGGCAGCTGCCAAGCCTTGGCCGAGAGCCAGGAAGGGCCTCCCCGGAGGAGGAGGAGGAGGGAGGCGCAGAGCGGGAGGGAGGGAGGGAACCCCAGGGGTCATCTAGTGACGGCGCCCCAATCGAAAATTTGACTTTAAAAAAAAATCTTTCAATTTTTTAATTTTTCCCGCGGCACACCAGGCAACATCTCGCGGCACACTAGTGTGCCGCGGAACAGTGGTTGGGAAACACTGCCTTAGACAATGTGATAGAAGAAAAGAGTGGAAAAATAGCAATCAGCCCTGTAGGATTTCTGCAGGGTATTTTCCCACCTTACCTCAACCAGCTCTCTCCCTCTGTGTCAAGAGTTTTTCTTTTCCCGTTTTCAGGTGTATATATGCACATATTTTAATATTTGTAGTTTAGGATTTTCCAAAGGGCTGGGGATAGTCAGGAGAAATGTATTGCTACCAACCCTCACTGAGTCTCCTTTTCATGTGGATTTCCCCACCTGCTTTCCAACATCTTTCAGCACCGTTAACAAAACGGCACTCCTTAGGATCCTTTGAGGGAAGCCATGTCTGTTTCAAGTAGCAAAATACATCTTTAAATGTATAGGGCAGATTGGGGCCTTAATGAGACCCCCCCCCCCGCCTTTAACACAAACCCTTCAGTCAATAAGCGTGCATGCATCACAACTAACTTTTATTATACATCCTTGTTTCTAGAACAGCCCATGTCGCCTTGTGCGGGGCAGGTAACATCGGTTGAGATCCAGACAAAATGTGCAGAAGTGAAACGGGCAAATTATGCCGACTCCGCGACAAGCTGCCTGGAATAGCCCACAGCTGCTTATATTATCACTTGAGATTACAGAGGAATTATTATTGCAGAGTTCTGAGAGCTCAGATGACGAGCTGTGGATCTTTCAAGTTCGCGAGAGAAAGACGACAGTGGTTTTCATGGCAGAAGACAAAATGGGGAGAAATTCAACCATTTTTAGTGTTTCTCAAACTTGGGTCCCCAGCTGTTGTTGGACTACAACTCCCATCATCCCCGACCACTGGTCATGCTAGCTAGGGATGGTGGGAGTTGTAGTCTCCAAACAGCTGGAGACCCAAGTTTGAGAAACACTAGGTGGTAAAAGATGTTTTAGAGCAGGGTGAGGAACCTGATAATTCCAGACGGGGTGTCTTTGTGTATGTGTGTAAGGGGGAAGAAATAAGTATAAGAAGGGGCATGAATACTGAGGTTTATAAAAATATGCATAGTGTCCCTCACCTGGATGCTCCCCAGATGCTGAACTCCGGCTCCCATCATTCCTGCCCATTGTTCGTACTTGCTGTGGCTAATAGGAGTTTGGAGTTTTGTTTTAGTTGCTATAACCTGCCCTTGGACCTTATGGTAAACAGTGGGTACGGAATACAGTGGTGCCTCGCAAGACGAAATGAATTCGTTCTGCGAGTTTTGTCGTCTTGCGATTTTTTTCGTCTTGAGAAGCACTGTGTCGGGAAAGTTTTGGAAAAGCTTCAAAAATCACCAAAGTCTTTCAAAACCTCAAAAAAGGCTACCACACCGCATTCTATGAGTTGCTCCTCGAAGTCAAGTCGCAACTGTATTAACGGTGTTAAGAAAAAGGAAACAAACTTGCAAGACATTTCCGTCTTGCGAAGCAAGCCCATAGGGAAAATCGTCTTGCGAAGCAGCTCAAAAAACAAAAAACCCTTTCGTCTAGCGAGTTTTTCGTCTTGCGAGGCATTCGTCTTGCGAGGTACCACTGTAAAATAAATAGCAACATCTTGTGGCTACTAAGATGGGAAAGGCTGTTGTGAGACTGGCAGATTTTTGCCCCCTTCCCAAAGGACGCTCGAATTTGGGGTCGCCACGGAAATCTGCGGGTGGCAGATTGGCAATGGAGAAGGGGGAATTCTTTGCTCTCAGTGAATAGTTAACTTATGGGCAAGGGATGCGGTGGTGGCCACAGGCTGAAGGTGGCTTTGGAAAAGTGGGTTAGATCCAAACCCCAAGTAGGACAGGCCTATCAACCACTGTTCAGTATGACAGCAGAACAAAACTCCCTTAGACAGAGGCAGTATATCTCAGGCTTCCAGATGCTAAGAAATACGACCAGCGGGAAGAGGGACTGTGGCCTGCTTCTTGAAGACATCGAGAAGCTGCTATCAGAAAACAGACTTAGATGGATGGACCTTCCATCTGCTCTAGTCAGGATCTTCATTTTCAGCCCACATAAGGATACCACAAATGGTCCCATTCTGTCCAGCTGTCCAGATGCCTCGCCTCACCTGTGGAGTTTGTCTTCCAGGCAATATGATCAACCAACCCCCAAGTGCTCATTCAAGAGAAAATATCAGAAAGGTCGGCTCTGTTTCAGGTGGTTCAGAAATCAACTTCCTTTTCAGCTCCTCACAAAACTTTCCAGGCAGCCTCAACAAAAGGTTCCTCCCTTTGACCGTCCTGCTGTTGCTGGACTGCAACTCCCATCATCCCCTGACCACTGAGCATGACTGCTGGGCCTGATGGGAGTTGCAGTTTGGCAGCACCTGGCGGGCCAAAGATTCTGCCCCACTGATGTCCATAGGAGCTGATAGGAGGGGCAGCTGAGTCTTAAACCAGTACAGTCACACCTTGGATCCTGAAAGGCCTGAAATGTAGATGTTTTGGCTCCCAAGTGCCGCAAACCCAGAAGTGATTGCTCCGGTTTGCAAACTTATTTTTGGAAGCCGAACGTCCAACGGGGCTTCTGTGGCTTCCGACTGACTGCAGGAGCCAACAAGAAGCCTCACTTTGGTCTCCGAATGTTTTGGAAATTGAACGGACTTCTAGAACCGATTCCGTTCTAATTCCAAGGTGTGACTGTATTCAGTGCTAGTCCTACTCAAGATTAAACCCACTGAAGTTGACAGGCATGACTAACTTAGCCAATAGTTCCCTACCTCTGCTCTAAACATTTACAGTGGTACCTCTGGATGTGAACGGGATCCGTTCCAGAGCCCCGTTCGCATCCAGAAGCGAACGCATCCAGAAGCGTGCGCGGGTCGCTATTTGCCACTTCTGCGCATGACGTCATTTTCACAGTCTGCACGAGCGGCGAAACCCAGAAGTAACACGCTCCGTTACTTCTGGGTCACCGCAGTGCGCAACCCAAAAATACTTATCCCAAAGCTACTTCAACCCGAGGTATGACTGTATACCGCCATAGCTCCACAGTCTTTTAAAAAAGTCTTCTGAGCACCCGGGCATTTTCACACAGATTTTCTGATATTTTGCAAAGGTCAGAGGGACTGGAGGGTTGGGGTGTGTGTTCGTTTGTCTTCTCTTTCCCCTCCCCACCTCCTGATCCGGCTACGGCCTCTCCCCGCCATGTGTCTTTTTATGCACGGTCAGGTGGGACGTGCGGCTGAAGCTCTTCCCGCAGTCCAGGCACTCAAAGGGCTTCTCCCCCGTGTGGGTTCTCCGGTGTGTGATAAGGTAACCCCGGTCGTTGAAGCTCTTCCCGCACTCGGAGCACTCGAAGGGCTTCTCCCCCGTGTGGGTCCTCTGGTGCGTGACGAGGGAGCCCTTCTGGTTGAAGCCCTTCCCGCAGTCGGCGCACTTGTGGGGCTTCTCGCCCGTGTGGATCTTCTCGTGCCTCAGGCGGTCGGAGCGGTGCGAGAACCACTTCCCGCACTGCGAGCACTCGAAGGGCTTCTCGCCCGTGTGCGTCCTCTCGTGCCCCACGAGGTACGACCTCTGGCTGAAGGTTTTCCCGCAGGCGGAGCACTCGTAGGGCTTCTCGCCCGTGTGGACCCGGCTGTGGCGCACGAGCTGTGAGCTTGTGCAGAAGCTCTTCCCGCAGTCCGCGCACTCGTAGGGCTTCTCTCCCGTGTGCACCCGCTTGTGGCTGATCAGCTGAGAGCTGATGCCAAAGGCTTTCCCGCAGTCGGAACATCCATAGGGCTTCTCGCCCGTGTGGGTCCTCTGGTGCTTCAAGAGGTTGCCTCGCTCCGTGAAGCTTTTCCCGCAGCTCAAGCACTTGTAGGGCTTCTCTCCTGTGTGGACGCGCTTGTGGTTGATGAGGTGGGAGCTGGTAGAGAAGTGCTTCCCGCACTCGGAGCACTCAAACGGCTTCTCCGTGGCAAAGTTTGTCGCGGGCACGTTGCCCGGAGGCCCTTCTTCCACCGGGAAAAGCTTCCCAAGGATGACTTCTTCCAATGATATCCGGGTGGGGTGTCTGCGCTCGGGTCTTTCTGCTGGGAGGACCGCCTCTTCGTTTTCTCCGTCGGACTCGGACTCGTCGACTTGTGGAATGAAAAGAGAGAATCGTGGAGTGAGTCAAACTTCAAAGTGGAGAGAGAGAGAGAGAGGCATCCAAGACCAAACAAAAGATAATGATGATGATGATAATAATAATAATAATAATAATAATAATAATAATAATAATAATAATTGGACATCCATCTAGCCCAGTGGTTCTCAAACTTTTTTCTCTTGGCCACACTCAGAATAAAAATTTGCTTGCACCTCACATAATAATAAATAATAATAATAATAATAATAATAATAGTATAAATAACAACAACAATTACTACTACTATTACTTATACCCTGCCCATCTGGCTGGGCCTCCCCAGCCACTCTGGGCAGCTCCCAACAGACTATTAAAAACAATAAAACATCAAACATTAAAAAATTCTCTAAACAGGGCTGCCTTCAGATGTCTTCTAAAAGTTAGTTGTTTATTTCCTTGACATCTGACAGGAAGGCATTCCACAGGGTGGGCACCACTACCAAGAATTATTATTATGAGCCATTAAGCCAGCCATGGAGAGACTCATCTGGTATTGCATGGCCGTTTTGGGCAAATCACACCCACCTGGTGTGGGGCAGAGCTGAATGCGACCAGCCCTCCCAAAACCCCGTACAAACTGCTTTACAAGCAACAATGATCAGTTGGTCGCTGGGGCTTGGCTAGCGCTGTGCTGAGAAGAGAAACCGCGTGGTCCCATCTGCCCTATACATTTGCAGCAGTAATATAACAATTTAAACAGCCACGGCTTCCCCCAGAGAATCCTGGGAACTGTAGCATGTTAAGGATGCCGCGTGTTGTCAGGAGAGGTTCCTGTTCCCCTCACAGAGTTGTAATTACTGCAGTTCTCTAGCACAAGGGATTACATTGTTAACTCTGTGAACAGGAACAAGGGGGTCTTCTAACAACTCTCAGCTCCCTTATCAAACTACAATTCCCAGGATTCCTTGGGGGAAACTATGGCTGTTTAAAGTGGAATTGTACAGCTTTCAATGTATGTGTGGATGTGTAAGAGAGCCTTTAAAAAAAATAATCTCCTGACATGCAACTATTTGAGCTTAGAAGTCTGTCTTCTTTTTTGCTTTAACTTCTCCCGTGCCATTTTCATTTATTGATACAACTTGCAACAGTAAGAACAGATTGCATCCTTGATAAGTTTAACAACCCCATTAGTACACGATAATAATTTACTAACCCCCAGAATTAAAAATTTGAGCCTCCGAGAACTACCAATATAAGGATTGTGTTGCGTGAAACCATATACCGGTACTTTCTCATAAACTGTAAACACATGTTAGTTAATTGTCCCATGTTTGCTATTCCATGGTCCTCTCAACTTTCACCAATTATGTTCATATTTGTTTCACCTTCTTTCCTCCATATTTAACCCATAGAGTCCAGCATATTTTGCTTAAAGTGCTCACTTCCCACAGCTTAATATGCCATTCTCTGGTGCGCAGGATTCCCTGCCCGCCCCCACCCATGGCAGTATTTTGCATATAGCATTGTCACTGCTAGTTGTTGTTTAGTCGTTTAGTTGTGTCCGACTCTTCGTGACCCCACGGACCAGAGCACGCCAGGCACTCCTGTCTTCCACTGCCTCCTGCAGTTTGGTCAAACTCATGCTGGTAGCTTCGAGAACACTGTCCAACCATCTCATCCTCTGTCATCCCCTTCTCCTTGTGCCCTCCATCTTTCCCAACATCAGGGTCTTTTCCAGGGAGTCTTCCCTTCCCATGAGGTGGCCAAAGTATTGGAGCTTCAGCTTCACGATCTGTCCTTCCAGTGAGCACTCAGGGCTGATTTACTAGTCACTGCTAGTACCATAGGAAATAACAGATTTCTCTTGTCCTTTCGGTACGTTTTTAAAATAAGCAAGTAACAAAAAAAATTGATAATTTTGAAGCAGATACTGCAAAATACTCCTTATGTTTGCTATAATTTGTCCCCAACACTTGGGTGTCTTTACCTAATAAGGCAGTCTCCCCATTATATTCTTCCGCCTCCTCTGCCTGCTTGTCTTCCTGTGCCTTCTTGGAATCTGAAAGATTCTTCTCTGAGAGCTGAGGCACCTGGAGTGGAGGGAAAAGAAGGAGGAGGCCTGTTATTCTGATTTAAACAATGCTTTCTCTGCAGAAATCATTACTAGTCTGTGTGCTTACAATACAGCTTTTCCTCACAATTCTCATATGCCCATGCTTTTAAATATGCTGCAAGCTGCTCTGAGACCTCTGCTGTAACAAGACTGTATTCATGATACGTCTCTCAGTATCACCCAAAGTACGCTTACGTTTTGTGCGTCTCCGTCAGGCTCTTGCCTTCTCAGGAGGAAATCCTCAGCTAGGGCTACCACCTGGGCACAGAGGTCTGAGCCAGAGTCCTTCTCCCAAGTCTGCATTTCTTGGAATGGAATGGTGAAAAGATGCTCCTTTTCTTTATCTGAACTGTAAACAAAAAACAAAAAACTCACAATCCACACTGATATGCACAAATGCACGGGATGAAGATTTCAGTAGCAATCAATACGAAACCTGCAGTTATCTTTCCATCAATATTATTATTATTATTAATTTGTACCCCGCCCATCTGGCTGGGTTTCCCCAGCCACTCTGGGCGGCTTCCAACAGAGATTAAAAATACATTAAAATACATTTAATACAGAGATTAAAAATACATTAAACCATGGCGAAGCGAAGCTCATTCCATTTGTTTATCTTTCTGAACATAGTATCAGCATTAAACAAGGTTTAGAGTGCCCATGGCCAGCCAAGTTACTTGGACACCTGAGAGAGAAAGCCCTATGGTTTCTCTCTCCCTGCAAAAGTACAATAATAATTAATTAAACAACAGTTTGATATATAATTTTATGGTATCACTCCAAAAAAAGGTGGTGCTATGATGCGTCAAACCTCGGAAATACATTTTTCCCAAAAGGTTTCCACAATTTTGGCCACTAGTGTATGTACCTCCCACCTTTCCTCCAGGGACCCCCATGGCGTCCAACGAGACTCACCCCCTCCTCAATCCGTCCCCGCTACAACCCTGCGAGGTATGCTAAGGATGCGTGCATCTTGGACCTGATCCAGCAGAGCATCTCTTGCGCTCTCAAGCCTGGGGGAGAGGGAGGTGATAAAGAAGGGAGGGGGCTCCCCAACCCTGCAGCCTTTTTCTGCCCCCCTCCCCAAAGGCTGCCCCTTCCACGCGCCCAGCAGCTGCCCAGGCAGAGATGCCACCAGACTCACCGAGGCCACTTCCTACTTTCCCACGGGGGGGGGGGGGCAAGAAAAAAAGGAAGCCCCTCCCACTTCCGCGTTGCACCTCCCCCATTTCCTGCCTCTCTAGGAACCGCTCGGCTCCCTGCTCTTGTTAACTCTTAGGGGCCCGAGAACGGGCAACACGAGTCGGTCTTAGGCTGCCTTTTAAGACATGCCCGGTTTCAAGGGCAAGGCGCTGGTTCTGTGGGATTTGGGAGATCAGGATGCTGTGCTGTTTTTCTATCCTAGAACCGTGGAATCGCTGGATGGAAGGGGACCCGACGGTCATCTAGCCCAACCCCGCTGCAATGCAGGAATCCTGCCCACAGCCATCCCTGGGTGGGCTCCAACCACCAACAGCCAGATGCACTGACTCACAGAGGAGCAAAATGCGGGCATCATATCCTCCTCCCACCATGCACGGTTTACTCAGAAGTAAGCCCCACTCAGTCCAGTGGGGCTTACTCACTATGCTGCAGCTGGACATTATCGTTGACTCTGTATTCTTTATCTGTGTTTTCATTGGAATTTTTAATTTAAACTTAGAATCGTGGAATTGCAGTGCTGGAAGGGACCCCAGTGGTCATCCGGTCCAAACCCCTGCGATGCAGGAATCCCAGAACAGCTTGGGGGAAACTCCCTTTAATAATAATAATAATAATAATAATAATAATAATAATAATTTATTTGTACCCCGCCCATCTGGCTGGGTTCCCCCATCCACTCTGGGTGGCTTCCAACAGAGATTAAAAATACATTAAAATACATTTAATACGGAAATTAAAAATACATTAAACCGTGGCGAAGCTAACCTCGTTCCATTTGTTTATCTTTCTGAACATAATATCAGCATTAAACAAGGTTTAGAGTGCCCATGGCCAGCCAAGTTACTTGGGCACCTGAGAGAGAAAGCCCTATGCAAAAGTACAATAATAATTAATTAAACAACAGATTGAAATATAATTTTATGGTATTACTCCAAAAAAATCCCAGAACAGCTTGGGGAAAACTCCTAATAATAATAATAATAATTATTATTATTATTATTATTATTATTATTATTATTATTATTATTATTTATACCCTGCCCACGTGGCTGGGTTTCCCCTCTGGGCGGCTCCCCACAGTATATTAAAAACACGATAAAACATCAAACATGCATGCACACGAAAGCTCATACCAAGAACTAACTTAGTTGGTCTTTAAGGTGCTACTGGAAGGAATTTTTTTTGTTTTGACTATGGCAGACCAACACGGCTACCTATCTGTAACTTATCACATCACTCTTCACAGGAAATTCCGGGAATGCGCCCGGCTTGATCCAGAGCTCTGGGTAAGGATACCTTTGCTCTCAGCTGATGTGAAATTTCCTCCATGTCCATGGAATTGGTTTATTAACTTCCTACAGGGGTTTCACTGGGAAAGTCCTAGGGGCCTAGTTTCTGCAGGGACGGGAACATTTATTTTTATTTATTTGTAAAAGTATTTGGCTACATGCACACCACAGCCCCTCAAGAACCATGGGAACTGTAGGTTGCCCCTAACAGAGCTAGAATTCCTAGCACCCTTAACAAATCACAGTTCCCAGGATTTTTTGGGGAAAGTGTGTGTGTGTGTGTGGTGTGTATGGACTGCCAACTTGCCTAAGAATATCAAGGGCGTGGCCACATAAAATCCTGTAAAACAGAGGAAGAAGGACAGGCTCGTACAAAAAATAAAAAAGATAAAAAAGAAAATAAAAGAAAAAGAAAGAAAAAAGAAAAGAAAAAAGATTACTTCAGTTCTCAGGATTATTTGGAGGAAGCCATGACAGTGCTTTAAATGTATGGTATGGATGTAACCTAGTTGCTCTCTGAGTCTCTTTGTACTCTGTGCAAAGTTACATGACAGGCAAGTTGACATCCTGAGTGCAGGGGTCTCTGGCCTTATCGGGATGCTGTTAATTTGTAACACAAAAGGAAGGCAGCAGACCTCTTGGTTTCTCAAAAGGCAAAGTCCTGTTTATTTGAGATGCTACCTATCGATAGCTTTTGGCAGTTTCAGCAGAGCAAACATCCATTCAACCATTCACTCAGCATAGAATCGATGACATTAAAAGGAACAATATTATAAAGATTATGGAAGCATAAGGCTGCATACACATCACACATTTAAAGCACATCACTTCCAAATAATAGTGTCCAGATAGTACTAGTCCCGGTTTGTTCTGCCTTGGTCAGACCACACGTGGAGTCCTGTGTCCAGTTCTGGGCGCCACCATTTCAGACAGATATTGAGAAGCTGAAACATGTGCATAGGACAGAGGCCAAGATGGTCTAGGGTTTGGAAATCAAGCCTTATGAGGAACGGTTGAGAGAGGTGGGTATGTTTAGCCTGGGAAAGGGGAGACAGAGCGCAGATCTGATAGCCACCTTCAAATATCTAAAGGGCTGTCACATGGGAAATGGAGCAAGCTTGTTTTTCCCTGCTTCAGATGGTAGTACCCGAACCAATGGCATAAAGTTATAAGAAAGGAGAGCCCCTGTATTGCAAGATGATTCAACATAGACATGACTGAGCTAATATTATTGGGGGGAGAAGAAAAACTATTTTTTCTCCAACACCAAACTAGATATTGGAATTCCATGCATTTAAAGCACATTCCTATGCTTTCTTTCCTATGCTGGCAATTACAGTGGTACCTCAGGTTACATCTGCTTCAGGTTACAGACTCTGCTAACCCAGAAATAGTACCTCGGGTTAAGAACTTTGCTTCAGGATGAGAACAGAAATCGTGCTCTGGCGGCACGGCGGCAGCAGGAGGCCCCATTAGCTAAAGTGGTGCTTCAGGTTAAGAATAGTTTCAGGTTAAGAACAGACCTCCGGAACGAATTAAGTACTTAACCCGAGGTACCACTGTATATCTAAAACACATCTATAGATATATAATTTAACTTCTCATTATCAGTTTCCTTAATTTCAGCATATATTATATATAAAAACACATATATACAGATATATAATTTAACTTCTCGTTATCAGTTTCCTTTATTTCAGCAGACATATATATATAAAACAGACACACACACATATATATAACTTCTCATTATCAGCGTTTCCTTAATTTCAGCAGATATTGTGTATCGTTATTGTTATTGGTTTCTATTGACATATTGGTTTGTTTGTTGCGCGTATAGGATATTCTCTTTCTTAATGTTTGATGTTTGGTCGTATTTTTATATATGCTGTAAGCCACCCAGAGTGGCTGGGGAAACCCAACCAGATGACTGGGATGTATTTTATTTTTATTTTAAATCCTATTACTATTATCTACATATTTACAATTTAACTTCTCATTATGACAGTTTCCTTAATTTCAGCAGCACCATTTAAGGAAGGCTGCCTCATATATATATATATTTGTCCTTCCCATTTGTGGTGTGCTCAGAAATCCTCACCCATCCACTGCCAAAAAACCCCCAACCCAAACCCAGCAGACCCAGATCTCCCTCCTGGCAAAGCCCCCACCCCAATCATTTGTGTCTCTGTGTGTGTGTATCTGGAGGGGGGGGGGTCCAGAGCAGAGGGTTACATAACCAGCGAGGCGGGGTGGACTAGAAGGGCGGCGTGGCGCCGCGTCACCGAGGACTCCTTCCTGTCCCGCCCACCTGGGAAATGCAAGGGGGGCCCATGTGAACCTCTTTGTGCTTCCCAGAGATTTGCGTCTGCGGCGATGCCGGGCCGGGCTGTTCCTCTCGCCGGGGGAGCCCCGTCTTAAAGGTGCACCCTTGGGGGAGGGGGGGAGGGGCGCTGGGGAAGGACGTGCAACCCCCCAAACCCCCACCCTCTCCCAGGGGGTCCCTGCAAGGGTGTCCCCCACCCCCCAAAAAATAATTGCAAGCAAATTATTTTGCTTCCCCGCCTCCCCGCCCCTCCCTTCCCACAGCAGCAAAAGAAAACTTTTATGCTAATAGCTTGCAAATTCTTTTCCAACAACACTCTGCTCCCTCCCCCCCGCCTCCCTTCCTGGTGTTTGCAATCTTTTTAAAATATATATATATATTTATTTGAAACTTCAAAGATCCGTTTTGGAGGGGAGGTTGTTGATGGTTGGGATTCTGGCTGGAGGTTTATGGGGGAAGGGGGGGGTCTCCTCCAGCTTTCCAGATTTTAATCCTTTAATCCCCCGTGGGTCGCTGTTGTCAAATAAATTCTTTGTATTCTTCCCCTGGCTGGTTCTGTTTGCTTTTCCTGGCATTACAAGGGGGGAACCCCAATCGTGCCACTCCCCCCCCCTTTATTAAAAATAAATAAAATTCTGTTGGGGTGTACCCTTTAACAGCTTTTTGCCATGAGGAAGTTCTTCAGGTGGGGCAAAATGGAGAAGAAGGCTGTGTACACACCAGGAAGTTAAAGCACATCGCATCCCCCCACCCCCCCAAAAAGAAATTGTAATTTGTTATGAGTGTCAGCAATTGAAGGTTTGGGAGGGGTGAGCTACCATCCGCAGTATTCTTTGACGATGTGCTTTAAACATATGTTTTGTATGCAGCCTAAGTCATGTGGAAAAAACTTATTTCCCCTTCCTCTCTACCTTCCATTTTCTTCTTGCTCTATTTTTTTGTACATTCGTGAGGGTATCGGGGCGGTTTTACGCAATCCCGATTTCAGTACGGTTTGTGCCTGAAAAAGTTTCAGGGCTTTGTTTACGATCGGTATGATTCTTGTGACATCCTGCTGAAATCCTGTAACTTTGCATACCACAGATGTTGGTGCGTGTGTTGTCAGTTCTGTTTTTGTTGGGCTATATTCAGGAGCATCCCTCAAGACAACAGTGATGCAATGCCATTAGGGAATTGTCACAGAACCACTAATAAAACGGACTGATGTGCAGATGGTCCAGTATGATGCTGCTTCTCTGCTTTTTCCATAAAATTTATACAGTGGTACCTCGGGTTACATATGCTTCAGGTTACATATGCTTCAGGTTACAGACTCCGCTAACCCAGAAATAGTGCTTCAGGTTCAGAACTTTGCTTCAGGATGAGAACAGAAATCGGGCTCCGGCGGCGCAGCAGCAGCAGGAGGCCCCATTAGCTAAAGTGGTGCTTCAGGTTAAGAACTGTTTCAGGTTAAGAACGGACCTCCGGAACGAATTAAGTACTTAACCCGAGGTACCACTGTACACCTCTTGATTGCAAGAAAACCTCAAACCGGTTTGCAAATTGGCCATTTATGTGCTGTTATTGCCTCAGTGACGGCGGGACGCGGGTGGCGCTGTGGGTAAAACCTCAGTGCCTAGGACTTGCCAATCGTATGGTCGGCGGTTTGAATCCCCGCGGCGGGGTGAGCTCCCGTCTTTCGGTCCCAGTGCCTGCCCACCTAGCAGTTCGAAAGCACCCCTAAGTGCAAGTAGATAAATAGGTACCACTTTATAGCGGGAAGGTAATGGCGTTTCTGTGCGCTGCGCTGGTGCTGGCTTGCCAGAGCAGCTTCGTCACGCTGGCCACGTGACCCGGAAGTGTCTGCGGACAGCGCTGGCTCCCGGCCTCTAGAGTGAGATGAGCGCACAACCCTAGAGTCGGACACGACTGGCCCGTACGGGCAGGGGTACCTTATTGCCTCAGTGACAGCTGTGCTGGTTTGCCAGTTCGTTTCCAGGTCCTATTCAAGGGTATAAGTGTCATCTAGTCCAACCCCTGCAATGCAGGAATCTTTTGCCCAATGTGGTGCTCGAACCCACGACCTTGAGATTGAGAGTCTCATGTTCTAAGTACGGAGCTATCCCAGCTTCCAGGTGTTTGTGTTAGTGTTTAAAACCCTGAGTGGCTCAGGCCCTGAACTCCCTGAAAAACTTCCGTAAAATAAATTCTCCTCCCAATGCAAATCTCTTTTCATGTGCTGCTTGAGCACCCTACGAATGCAGAACTCTTTGAAAGCTGCCTTAATAGAAATGAAGGAGAATTTGAATCCTCAGATGCGATCTTCCAATGGCCCCTTTAGTAATTTCATTTGGATATCCTAGAGGCCTAACGTAGGAGAAAGACCTGGAAATGGTCGTTCAGTTTACAATGGCAGCTAGAATGCTAATCTGTCAGAACTGGAGAAATCCCAAACCACAATCTGAAGATATTAATAATTTTAATCAAAGAAGGGAAGTAACATATCCATAATCTTTAATCGCTGTGTTATGTTTGTTTATAAAACTTAATAAATACAACGAGAAAAAGAAAAATATGGGAAAGATGAATAATGACATATTTGTGCAATATACCATATTTTTTGCTCTATAAGACTCACTGTTCCCCTCCTAAAAGTAAGGGGAAATGTGTGTGCGCCTTATGGAGTGAATACCGGCTGCGCAGCTATCCCAGAAGCCAGAACAGCAAGCTTTCACTGTGTAGCGATCCCTCTTGCTGTTCTGGCTTCTGAGATTCAGAATATTTTTTTTCTTGTTTTCCTCCTCCAAAAACTAGGTGCGTCTTGTGGTCTGGTGCGTCTTATAGAGTGAAAAATACGGTATTTAGTCATATCTAGACACTTTTTAAACATCAACATAAAAACCACAATATATATAATCAGAATAAAAACAACAACCCAATAACACCCCCCTCAAAAAGAGTCACATTTTAAAAGGGCACAGGATGTATCTATAAACCTTAATAAAATGTATTTTAAAAAACTATAAACCTTACTAAAAGTTATTTTTAAAAATAAAATGTTTAGGAGGAATCTCAGAACCCAGATGGCGTGTTGGCTGAATTGAGATTTCCAGTGACAGGAAGGTGATAGATCTTTCACAGCTTTCACGTTTTCTTCACTCCCATCTCCCATGACTAAGGAAGCCCAAACTGTGCAAAGAAGATAAAATATCGGAATAAAATGTGCAAAGTGAGAGAGATGATGATGATGCCATTTGGCACAGTTTATAGAGAGCTTGCAGACCTCAGGACTTTTGTAGGTACAGCATTTGGATTGTCTTGATGCAGACTTGTATTTGAGGAAGGAGTCTAGCTCATCTGTTTGGCGTGCAGAAGGTCTCAAGTATCTCCAGGTGGTCCTGCGAATACCCCCTGCCTGCAACCCTGGAGAGCCTCTGCCAGTCAGTGTAGACAATACTGAGCTATATGGACCAAAGGTATAAATTCCTATTTAAGCGGAACATTGTTTAAACCAGGAGGACTAGAATCTTACTTTTTATTTAAGAGAAGGCGCCACAGCTCAGTGGTGGAGCCTCTGCTTTGTACGCAGAAGGTCTGTGCAAGAGGGAGACAATTGCAAAGATGTGTGTGGATCTGGGCTTTGTTGTTGTTTTAGTCGTTTAGTCGTGTCCGACTCTTCTTGACCCCATGGAACAGAGCATGCCAGGCACTTCTGTCTTCCACTGCCTCCCGCAGTTTGGTCAAACTCATGCTGGTAGCTTCAAGAACACTGTCCCACTATCTCATCCTCTGTCGTCCCCGTCTCCTTTCCCAACATCAGGGTCTTTTCCAGGGAGTCTTCTCTTCTCATGAGGTGGCCATAAGTATAGGAGCTCAGCTTCAGGATCTGTCCTTCCAGTGAGCACTCAGGGCTGATTTCCTTCAGAATGGAGAGGTTTGATCTTCTTGCAGTCCGTGGGACTCTCAAGAGTCTCCTCCAGCACCAGCACCATAATTCAAATCTGGGCTTTAACCTCTGTTTATTTTGTATTGTTGCTAGTAAACACAAGCGTTTTCATTACCTTTGTGTAATCGCCTTGTAGGTCACAACAGTCCATCTCATAACACTCAGTGCAGGCAGCAGTGAGCCACTTGGACCAGTGAGCTGACGCTGCGTAAGCAGGGCTGGATTGCACAATAGGCAGGATCAGCACGTGCCGAAGGCCTTGCAGGGAAAGAGATTTTTTTTGTAAAGAAGAAATTGACTTTAAAGAAAACACATCAAAGTTGTCATAACGGAAAAACACCAGAATTCATTAGATATCCTTACATTTCATTCCCCACCCCCACCCCAGTGTTCGAAATTCCCCGGACGTGTTTTGCTCCTGCCGTGGGCCCAACTGGAGATTTCTGGGCACCAAGTTGGTGAACACAGTTTAAAAGCTTCCATAGTTAATTCCATTTCCATTTCCCTGTGTGTGTGTTTCTTCTTGCATACTGGGACAAGTGAACTGTTGTAAGAGCGAGTTGCAATGTAGCTGAGAGAATTGTGGCGTTGAAAGGGATCCTGAGGGACATTCCGTTGGGGCAAACATAACCTAGATTTAAAGTGTGGTTTGGTGCCTAGCTTATACTTTTTTAGCTCCCAACACTACTTCCCTCATTTTTCTTTTTTCAGTGCTTAGCCCCACCTAAACCAGAAGGCCTCCTACTAATGTAATCTGAAATAATGCGAGGATATCAGATTCTGCCATGTGCTGCTATAAATCTATTTTGTTTTAAAATCATATTTTATGATTTAGTGTTGGTTTTATTTTGTATTGTATACGGGGCCCACCATAATCTTTCCCTTCCTCTCAAGGTTTTTAATGAAGCCCTTTGTACAAGGCAGGTTATCGTGTTACGTAAGTTTGTGAGGTCCTCTGAACTTATCTGAACCATAGCTGTCAACTTTTCCCTTTTTTAAAGGGAAATTCCCTTATTCCGAATAGGATTCTTTGCAAGAAAAGGGAAAAGTTGACAGCTATGATCTGCACGATGGGACGCGGGTGGCGCTGTGGGTTAAAACCACAGAGCCTAGGGCTTGCTGATCGAAAGGTCGGCGGTTTGAATCCCCGCGGCGGGGTGAGCTCCCACCGTTCGGTCCCAGCTCCTGCCCACCTAGCAGTTCGAAAGCATCCCTAAGTGCAAGTAGATAAAATAGGTACCGCTTTCTAGCGGGAAGGTAAACGGCGTTTCCGTGTGCTGCGCTGGTGCTGGCTCGCCAGAGCAGCTTCGTCACGCTGGCCACGTGACCCGGAAGTGTCTCCGGACAGCGCTGGCTCCCGGCCTCTTAAGTGAGATGGGCGCACAACCCTAGAGTCGGTCACGACTGGCCTGTACGGGCAGGGGTACCTTTACCTTTACCTTATGATCTGCACATCAGTTTCAAACTCTGCATGTGAAACTCTCGGCTTACCACACCTGCTTTCCATTTCTGAGGGAAAGGAGATGGTTTTCAGTCCCTGCCCACAGTGTGGAAGGAAACGGGTTTCTTCTTCTTTTTCTTCCAGGGACTGGAGGAAGAAAAGGCAGCCGTGCACTGAGGAGGAGTGGGGCCTGCTGGATCTGAACCAGAGGTCATGCTGGAGATTCATGACTTGGTGACCTCTCTGGGTAAGGATCCCTTTCCCCCGTAGCCAGGATACTAAGGTCCTTCTGTGTCCGGCTTCACAGCCTTGCTAGTCCAACATCCTGTTCATAGAATCGTAGGGACTCCAGAGATCATCTAGTTCAACCCCCTGCAATGCAGGAATCTCAGCTAAGGCATCCATGACAGATGGCCATCCAACCTCTGCTTAAAAACCTGCAAGGAAGGAGAGTCTACAACCTCCGAAGGGAAGCCGTTCCACTGTTGAACAGCTCTTGCTGTCAGAAAGTTCTTCCTTAAGTTTCGTCGGAATCTCCTTCCTTGCAACTTGAAGCAGCTTATTTGAATCTTACCCTGCGGAGCAGGAAAAAACAAGCTTGCTCCATCTTCCATCTGACAGCCCTTGAGATATTTAAAGATAGCTATCACATCTCCTCTCGGTCCCTTATTTTCCAGGCTAAACATACCCAGCTTCCTTAACCTTCTCAGGCCTTCTCGGTAGTGGCGCCCGCCCTGTGGAACACCCTCCCATCAGATGTCAAGGAAATAACAACTACAGTGGTGCCTCGGGTTAGAGATGCTTCAGGTTGTGCATTTTCGGGTTGCGCACCGCGCCGAACCTGGAAGTACTGGAATGGGTTACTTCCAGGTTTCGGTTGCACTGCGGTTTGCGAATGTGCCTCCTGCATGGATCACGTTCGCAACCCGAGATTCCATTGTATCTGACTTTTAGGAGACATCTGAAGGCAGGCCTGTTTAGGGAAGTTTTTAATGTTTGATGTTTTATCCTGTTTTTAATATGCTGTTGGGAGCTGCCCAGAGTGGCTGGGGAAACCTTGTACAGTCATAAAAAGGTAAAGGAACCCCTGACTGTTAGGTCCAGTCACGGATGACTCCGGGGTTGCGGCGCTCATCTCGCTTTACTGGCCGAGGGAGCCGGCGTACAGCTTCTGGGTCATGTGGCCAGCATGACTAAGCCGCTTCTGGCGAACCAGAGCAGCGCACGGAAGCGCCCTTTACCTTCCTGCCAGAGTGGTACCTATTTATCTACTTGCACTTTGACGTGCTTTCGAACTGCTAGGTTGGCAGGAGTAGGGACTGAGCAACGGGAGCTCACCCCATCGTGGGGATTCAAACCGCCAACTTTCTGATCATCAAGCCCTAGGCTCAGTGGTTTAACCCACAGCGCCACCCGCATCCCTCTGTACATTCATACCTCGGGTTAAATATGCTTCAGGTTGAGCGTTCTCAGGTTACACTCCGCGGCGACCCGGAAGTAACGGAATGCATTACTTCCGGGTTTCGCCGCATGCGCAGACACTCAAAATGACGTAACGCGCATACCCAGACGTGGGTTGTGTTTGCTTCAGGATGCGAACGGGGCTCTGGAACGGATTCCGTTCGCATCCAGAGGTACCACTGTACGTCACTCCTACATTGGGTAATCTGAGCTTGTTCCCAATGTGCTCTCTGCTCTTATCATTCTCAAAGCCTGTTTAGTCTTAGGCGAAGGGGGTCAGGAATGCTTTCCAAGGACACTGAATCTGCCAGCTACCTCTCTCCTGGTGTTTCCTCTTCTAGCTGCTCCTCACCCAGTATTTCCCAGCTTTCCCCCTCTGGACTATGCCCTTCTGCAAACCACATTTCTAAATCAATACTGTCCTCCTGCCCTTGGGAAGGTTCAGGAAAGGGGGGGGAGGGCTCCCACTATTCTTCCTCAGTCCAGACCCTGACATTACTGCGTCTCTATTTCAAGATGGACATGTGAGCTCCAGACCTGACCTCATCTCCTGGCTGGAAGAAGACAGAAAAGACCTCTTTGCCAAAGGCTCCATGGAAGAGATCAGATCCACAGGTGGGTGTTTCTCTGAGGCCACGCCAGCCCCTGACACTTAAATCAGCATCGTGCCACTTTAAGCCAACAGGAAATAATAGTGACGGCAATAACATACTTGCTTCGTATTTCAAACCAAATCTTTGGGCACCTTAACGGATCCCAGCAAAAAGGACTCATAAGAAATACAGGGCGGGATTCAACTCACAAGCCCCAATAGCGGAAACTCGTAACAGGGACTTTTGCTTGCAAAACGGGACTGTCCCCCTTCTCTCCCATGTTCCCCCTTGTGCCAATTGGTTCAATTGACACAAATAATTATACGTAAAATGACTATTATTGCTAATTAATAGTCACAATTCCATATTCTGTGTCTGGTAATTAAATATTTCTAGTAATGATACTCATAATTCCACATTTTACCTAACGTAAATAAACACCGCTAAACTGTTTATATTTAGGTAAAAGAATCACAAAAATCAACTGGATACAAAACATGAAAATACATCAAAATTCCTAAAATGCAACACCGTTACAATATAGCATTTTTTATTTTATTTTTTGCAAATACTAAATCAAAAAACAAGGTATTTAAAATACGTTTGCTTACATATTGTGTGTGTTATTTATATTAATGTTTTACATTAATGTAAAAATGTGACTTTTCCCTGTAAGAGCTTTGGTGGAAGCAGAAGACTGCTGTCTGCCGGTAGGGATTTGTGGATATTTGATGCTGCTTTTGTCAATCCAGCAAGTAGTTACTTTTTTTTACCTGTTTGTTAATGTTTCTGCCTTTCTGGAAATAGAACTGAGTTTTCAGGTATTTCTCTCTCTCCTCTTTCTCTCCTTCCCTTCATATCTGGTTCCCAAAGGTGCCAGATCTCTGAAGAAGATCAAGGTGGAGAGCTTTCCGGACGAAGCTCCCGTGATCAAGGAAGAGTATGAGGCTCTGCCGGAAAGATGCCAAGAGAATATTTCTTTCCCCAGTGAGGCCGGTGAGGAAGGTGAGTCCCAGTTGCTGCCACAACATTGGGGTGTAGCGGATAATAATAATAATAATAATAATAATAATAATAATAATAATAATATAATAATAATTTATTTATACCCTCCCATCTGGCTGAGTTTCCCCAGCCACTCTGGGCGGCTCCCAATCGAGTGTTAAAAACAATACAGCATTAAATATTAAAACAGGATAGGAGCATTCAAGCAAGTAAGGTAAAAGGTAAAGGTAAAGGGACCCCTGACCATTAGGTCCAGTCACGGACGACTCTGGGGTTGCGGCGCTCATCTCGCTTTACTGGCCGAGGGAGCCGGCGTACAGCTTTCGGGTCATGTGGCCACCATGACTAAGCCACTTCTGGCGAACCAGAGCAGTGCATGGAAACGCCGTTTACCTTCCCGCCAGAGCGGTACCTATTTATCTACTTGCACTTTGACGTGCTTTCGAACTGCTAGGTTGGCAGGAGCAACAGGAGCTCACCCTGTCGCAGGGATTCGAACCGCCGACCTTCTGATTGGCAAGTCCTAGGCTCTGTGGTTTAACCCACAGCACCACCTCTACATTCAGCATATGGATGAAATTATGGGGGCACACAGGAATAATGTCGAGCTCCTTCAGGATAAGGGTGGGATCTGGAAAACAAGCGAGGTCCCAGCCAAAGAAAAGTGGCAACATAAGTTGATGGAATATGTGCAGCTTGCACACTTAACATATAGAGTAAGAGAACAAGAAGAACATACATTTAGAGAAGATTGGGAAACGTTTGTTAAATATAAACACTGAAGACACGGGCAGCATTAAGGTAAATTCAACAGTGTAAATAAGTTCTGATGGATGTAATAATGGAAAATGATTGATACAGCTTTTGTAAAATATGCAGGGATATACTATAGGTAAAATGAACCATGGAAAGAGAAGAAGAAAAGTCATTGATATCTTAAGGATGCAAAAATGAGTGCTTTAAATTGTAAAACAGAAAAATTAATTAAAAATTTACACACATAGAGAGAGAGATACACATAAAAGAATTATGGCTAGCTTGTTCAGGATAAGGGTGGGATAGACAGACAGACAGACAAAAACATTTTGCCATGGTTAAATAAAGAAAAAAAAGTGGGAAAGTACTTAAAATTGTAATACATTGCAAGATGGAGTAATGTTATTATTCCAATGAGTATTCAGTTAATATGAAGTCATTAAAAGTTTTCTATTCTATGTCCACAAGCTCTGGTGTTAACGATCGCACTGCAGATTTGCGTAACACAATTTCCATTCCTTCCTTCCTTGTTTTTTTGGGGGGGAGGGGGGGATAATTTTTATTAGATTTCAATTACAATAATTGAGTAAAAGCCTCATTATAACAATGACAAATTATAATACCATTAATAATGCCAACAGTTCAAAAGCCAAATTACCGTATTTTTCGCCCTATAGGATGCACTTTTCCCCCTCCAAAAATGAAGGGGAAATCGGTGCATCCTATGGGGTGAATGCAGGCTTTCGCTGAAGCTTGGAGAGCGAGAAGGGTCGGTGCGCACCGACCCCTCTTGCTCTCCAGGCTTCAGGAAGACATCCGCAGCCTAGGCAGCCCTGCGGGAGTTCCCGCAGGGCTGTCTAGGCTGCAGATAGTAGTCTGCTTCCCGGAGTGCCGGGCGCGCTGAAAGCAGAGCACCCGGCGCTTCGGGAACACATCCGCAGCCTAGGCAGCCCTGCAGGAGTTCCCTGCAGGGCTCCCCACGCTGCGGCTAGCAGCCTGCTGCCCAGCGGGTGGGGCGCCCTGAAGCAGAGCGCCCCGTGCGCCGGGCATACATCCGCAGTGTGGGGAGCCCTGCAGGAGTTCCCCGCAGGGCTCCCCACTGTGCAGATAGCAGCCTGCCGCCCGGCGCGTGGGACACCCTGAAGCAGAGCGCCCTGCCCGCCGGACAGACATCCGCAGCGTGGGGAGCCCTGCAGGAGTTCCCCGCAGGGCTCCCCACGCTGCGGATAGCAGCCTGCCGCCCGGCGGGGGGAGCGCCCTGAAGCAGAGCACCCCTCGCGCCGGGCAGACATCGGCCAGCCCCACAAGCTCGGGGGACAGCAGGGAGGCGCAGCGCTGCCATCCCGCTGTTCCTCAACCTGGTTCGGTTTCCCCGACCTGCTTTTGGGGGGGAAATAAAGGGGGGGAATTCCTTTATTTCCCCCCCCAAAAAAAACTAGGTGCGTCCTATGGGACGAAAAATAGGGTATACAATTTAGGTGGGCCCCTGCGTGCTAGAATTGATGCTTCAATGATTTACTTCCGCATTCCAAAATCTTACAAATTTCCATTACACTCATCAGAATAACACACCCTTATACCCCAACTGCAATTTTAACGACTTCCACTCGCATTAGCACATTAAATGATTTACAGTCCTACAGCTGAAGCATTCAAACTCTCTCTTTGTTCTTCTTGCGTGTGGTAATTATTCTGTCTGTGATGTTTCTTCCTGTCCTTTAATATATTATGTCTATGAGGTGAATTTTATTATTTCGGTCACAGACCAGTTCCAGCCCACATACAATATCGAGGAAGTCATAAAACACGATAGAGATACCTTTGAATTTGCAATTGCCGTATTTTTCGCTCCATAGGACGCACTTTTTTTCCTCTTAAAAAGTAAGGGGAAATGTCTGTGCGTCCTCTGGAGCGAATGTGTGGTCCCTGGAGACAAATTGCCGGAGTACGGCACGCTCTTGGGCTGCTCTTTGGTGGTGGTGGTGGGAGCCGCGCTCCTCTGCCGGCAGCCCCGGGAAGCTTTGGAGCAACGGGAAGGCTGTGCACCCAAGCCCCACACTCCTGGGCTGCTGAATGGGGGTGGGTGCTGCTCTGCCGGAAGCCTGCCCTTCCCCTCAAGGTTTGGAGCAGTGGGCAGGCTGTTTGCTGAGAGAGGGGAGGAAGAGGACGGAGAGGAGGGGGAACCAAGAAGCTGGGTTAAGGGAGAGGAGGTACCGTAGGTTGCCGTGAATAGAGAGTCATGGTAGAGGGCAAAGGAGAGGGAGCAGCGAAGGGGAGAAATTGCAGGCGTCACCTGAGGAGTTTGGGTGAAAGGGTTGGAGAGGAGGAGGCTGGGAAAGGGGACTGTGCTGCTTGGGGAGGGGGAGAAAAAGTGGGGAGAAGGAAAGGAAAGTATTTTACATGAAGATAGCGAAGAAAGTGATGTCAGTGATTGTGAGCAACTGAGCTTCATAAATTCTGACTCTAGCAGGGATGAGTTCTTGCGGTTCACAGAAGACTAGAAGAGTACCTTAAAGTTTCTCTTCATTTGTTAATGACAGTGATGATGGTTCTTAATGCCATTGTTGACTGCTGTTCACTTTACATGGCTGTAATATGATTCTGAGATACTGGTTGTTTATTAAATACAGTGGTTTATACAACATTTGATTCAGAATATTTTTTTTCTTGTTTTCCTCCTCTTAAAAACTAGGTGCGTCCTATGCTCGGGTGCGTCCTATAGAGCGAAAAATACATTAACTGTAATATATTTCTGTCTATCCTTCTCCCAAGCGCACCTGCTGAGCCACGCCTCCGACCCCGGTTTCCCCGAAGGCATGTCCCTCTCGAGCAGCGGCCGGAAAGGGCGAGGCGTCTCCTGGAGGCACCAGGAAATCTTGGACCTCTTGGACATTTGGGGGGAGCCGAAGATCCAGGAGCAGCTGCGTGCCAGTCACCGCAACATCGAGGCCTTTGAGATCATCGCCCGCAAGATGGCCTGCCGCGGCCACCGGCGCAACGCCGTGGAGTGCCGCTCCAAGACCAAGTGCATGAGGCTGGAGTACCAGCGGGTCGTGAACCACAACTCCAGGACGGGGAAGCACACGGCCACCTGCCCCTACTACGCAAAGCTGCACAGCATCCTCCACAACGGGGACGCGGCCGTCCGGCCCAAGCGCATCCCCAGGAACATTAAGAAAAAGACAAGAGCCTCGGCGCCGCTTGCCAAGGAGGCTGCCGCTCCCGAGCGCACCGTGGAACTTTGTGCCCAGGATGCGCAAACAGGAAGTGCAGAGGAGTACATGGTGAAGCAAGTTCTTGTACCTGGTGGGCAGAATTCGTCTTATTAGGGACAAAGGAATGTGGGGAGCTGCCTTATACAGGGGTACCTTGGGTGAAGAACTTACCGTATTTTTCACTGCATAAGACGCACCTTTTCCCTCCTAAAAAGTAAGTGGAAATGTGTGTGCGTCTTATGTAGCGAATGCAGGCGGGAAAAGCCCCCAAGAGCCGCACACACGCTCCACGCGGCTATTGTGGGCTTTTCCCCGAGGAGGGAGAAGAGACTGACTAGCCGCGTCAGTCCCTTCTCCCTCCTCGGGGAAAAGAGTGCTCTTTAAAGGGTGCGTTCTTTAAAGGGTGCACTGCTCTTGGGAGCTTTTGCGGGAGGTGGGGGAAGGGACTGACTGGCTTTTAGAGGGGGAATGCAAGAAAAAAATTTTTTTAAAGGCAGTGCTGAGCAGAGCCTGGGATGCATACAGGTTCTGCTCAACGCTCCCTTTAAAAAATTTTTTTTTCTTGCATTCCCCCTCTAAAAACTAGGTGCATCTTATGGAGCAAAAAATACGGTGATTCGTTCTGGAGGTCCGTTCTTAACCTGAAACGGTTCTTAACTTGAGGTACCACTTTAGCTAAGGGAGCATCCCGCTGCCGCCGCACGATTTCTGTTCTCATCCTGAAGCAAAGTTCTTAACCCGAGGTACTATTTCTGGGTTAGCGGAGTCTGTAACCTGAAGCGTCTGTAACCCGAGGTACCACTGTACAGATCCAGCTGTCTGCAAGTGCCTCATGGGAGCCAGACTTGCCAGAGCCGAGTTGCTGTGCTCATTAGGCCTGACACTCCTGTGCTGATCCTGTTTTTTTACTAATAAAGAGTTAACTGCATTTGCTAGGTGTGGTTTACTGCTGGCTCGCTCCTGTCAGTATGCTCTTCAGAATTAAACTTCTCGCACGGTCTGAGTGAATCATGCCTCACATTTAGAGAAGAGTGTTTATTTATTCAGCTCCCACAGCCCCAGCCAAGGATAGCTCAGCTGGCGGAGCATCAGACTCTTAATCTCAGGGTCTTGGGTTTGAGCCCCACGTCAGGCAAAAAGATCCCTGCATTGCAGGGGGTTGGACTAGATGACCCTCGGGGTCCCTTGCAGCTCTGTGATTCTGTGCAAAGCATGGCCAGCGGTTGCAGATAATGGGAGCTGCAATATCTCGAGAGCTACACTTCCCCAACCCTGTTTCTATATGCTTTAGCTTAATTTTACCCAATTTTCTTTTCTAAAAAATTATTATTTCTCCCTAGGAGATGGCCACAGCGAAGAAAAGGCCATAGAAGAAAGCATTGAGACGTGCATCGTTGGAGATCGCTCTGGTGAGTGCTGTTGGCATCAATAAATGTCAAGCGAGTAGCTGCTTGGGCTGCATCTACTTGGATGTGGTTGAGAGAGTGTCCGTCAGTTAATTCATTCCCCACCCGTCCGCCCCCAAACAGACTGCCTTTCCCGTTTAATAGATGCAGCCTCCAGCGGAATAGGGGTGGAAATGGAACCCGACCAGGCAGACACAGAGGTGGAGAAGGAACAAGGTATGGGTTTTAAGATCATTGGTATCTTCTACACTCGATTATTGTGGGACTATACTTGGTGCCTGTTGTCTTTGTCCATGGAGTTTTCTTGGCAGGGATACTGGAGTGGCTTGCCGGTTCCTGCTCCAGGTAGATCCCGCTTGGTCAAAACTCTCCACTATGACCTGTCCATCTTGGGTGGCCCTGCAGGGCAAAGCACATAGCTTCTCTGAGTTATTCAAGCCCCTTCGCCACAACAAGGCAGTGATCCATGAAGGGGATCTTCTTGGGAGAAAAGCAATGACAAACCTAGACAGCATCTTAAAAAGCAGAGACATCACCTTGCCAGCAAAGGTCCGTATAGTTAAAGCTATGGTTTACCCAGTAGTGATGTATGGAAGTGAGAGCTGGACCATAAAGAAGGCTGGTCGCCGAAGAATGGAGGCTTTTGAATTTATGGTGCTGGAGGAGACTCTTGAGAGTCCCATGGACTGCAAGAAGATCAAACCTCTCCATTCTGAAGAAAATCAGCCCTGAGTGCTCACTGGAAGGACAGATCCTGAAGCTGAGGCTCTAATACTTTGGCCACCTCATGAGAAGAGAAGACTCCCTGGAAAAGTCCCTGATGTTGGGAAAGATGGAGGGCACAAGGAGAAGGGGACGAGAGAGGACGAGATGGTTGGACAGTGTTCTCGAAGTTACCAGCATGAGTTTGACCAAACTGCGGGAGGCATTGGAAGACAGGAGTGCCTGGCGTGCTCTGGTCCAGGGGGTCACGAGGAGTCGGACACGACTAAACGACAACAACAATAATCCTTGGTGCAGAATGCTGCAGCTGGACTGTAGGTGGGAACAAGCTACAGTCAAACCTTGGTTGTTGAACATAATGCGTTCTGGAAGACCGTTCAATTTCCGAAACGTTCGACAACCAAAAACTGAAAACAGAAGCCTCAATACGATAGGGAAACTCAAAATGGAAGCTGCGTAGCACATTCGGCTTCCAAAAATCGTTCGACAACTGGAGCATTTACTTCCGGGTTTTCGGCCTTCAGGAGCCACAAAGTATGATAACGGAGGCGTTGGGGAACCGAGGTTTCACTATACAACAAGTACCTAACTTGGGTGTTTCCAAAGCTTGTAGTGGCTGCTTTGTGCTATCGGGCTCAAGGATCTTGTATTAGTTTGCAAGGCTCTTAACAACTTCGATCCAGGATACAACCAGGGCAGCCAAGATCTTCTGATGGGGCACTTTTGACGCCTCCCACATACCTGAGGTTCAGCTGACAGAGCCTTTGGTGTGGAAGGCACTTGCCTATGGAACTCCTTGCCATTAGAAGAGGCCCCTATCCCCTTCACAGAGCATCCATTCCAAGTTTTTCCTATGGAGAGGGATAGATAGTTTTTGTGTTTTTTAAATTATATATACTTTTCAGATATATACATTTCACTGGTTTTACAATCATTTTAACATTTTAAAATTTGACTCCCTCCCCCCTCTTTCTGTGGTTCCTTAAATTTATTTTTATTATCTTCTGCATATCCAAATTCACTTAACACCCATTTATTCATATTCTTTAAATATATATTCTTTAAATATATACTCTTATGTAACTGCAGGTTATTACAATAATCCTGCCAGTTTTTTGTCTGTTTACAATTTATCTGTAAATATTCAATAAACAATTTCCACTCTTTTATAAAAAGTTTCTTTTGATTTCTTATTTTTCCAGTACGTTTCTCTATTTCTGCATATTCCATAAATTTTCCATAAATTCTTCCTTTACTGGGACTTCTGCTTCTTTCCTTTTTAGGGCGAGTAGTATTCTTGCCACTGTAGTCGCATACATTTTAGTCGCATACCTATATAATTTAGATAGTTCTGTCCCTATAATTCCCAAAAGAAAAGCTTCTGTTGTTGTTTTTTTACAAGGGTTGTTTTGAACATCCTTTTCATTTCATTGTATATCATTTCCCAGTAAGCCTTAACCTTGCTGCAAGACCACCACATATGATAAAAAGAACCTTATTTCTCTTTACATTTCCAACACTTACCCTATTTTTCTGTGTATAAGACGATGCTTTTCGCTTTTTTAAAAAAAGGCAAAAATTGGGTGTCGTCTTATACACGGATCGTGAATGCAGAGGGGGGACGTGCGATTAATGGCGGCAGCATGCAGGAGATTGGCAGTGGCGATTGGGCGGATGATTGGTGGCTGTGGCAAGGCCTGCTGGCGATTGGCTGTGGCTGCGGCAATTGGGCAGGCGATTGGCGGCTGTGGCAAGTGGGCGGGTGGCCTGTTGGTGGCGGCGAGTGGGCAGACAATTGGTGGCTGCGGTGAGGTGTGCGGTCGGCAGTGGCGGGCAGGTGGGTGAGCGATTGGCGGAAGTTTCTTAATTTGGGGTTTTAAAAAATAAATTATATTTTTCTTATACATGGAAAAATAAGGTATTTGATTTGGATTTATACATTAAAAGTTTGAGAGGGATTGATAGTTAAGCCACTTTGCGAATTGTAGGTTTGCGAGGGAAATAAGGGGTTCCTGAGCAACTCTCAGCAGCATAGCAAACTACAAGATTTCAGATCCGTTGGAATTAATGGACATGACTAATTTACGCCCAAGTTGCCTCTTACAGGAGCAATTTCTAACATTTTACTAAGAAGTACTTATGTCTGTCCTGAAGCTTCAATAGATGCGCCCAAATTCTGGTACGACGAGAGGAGGAGCTTTCTTTCTCCATGCCTTGTACAGTGGTACCTCGGGTTACATACTTAATTCGTTCTGGAGGTCCGTACTTAACCTGAAACTGTTCTTAACCTGAAGCACCACTTTATCTAATGGGGCCTCCCGCTGCTGCTGCGCCGTCGGAGCACAATTTCTGTTCTCATCCTGAAGCAAAAGTTCTTAACCTGAAGCACTATTTCTGGGTTAGCGGAGTCTGTAACCTGAAGCGTATGTAACCTGAAGCGTATGTGACCTGAGGTACCACTGTATAATTTTTACACACCTGTACCGTGTCTCCTGGCCTTTAAAAGCCCCCGACTGTAACCACCTTTCCTCATATAGGCGAGTCTCTGCGTCCCCTTAAGGTTCTCCTCTTTGTTGCCCTTCCAGACGCTGCCGCCCCGAACCGCCCGGCTCCTGCCCTGTCCCCCGACACTTGCATGGCGATCCTGCGGACCAAGAAGAAGCGAAAAGGCGAGAGCGACATGATCGAGCGGCTGATGAAGCACTCCTCCATGGAGAACGCCCGGCTCCTGTCCGCCATGGAGAAAGACAGCAAGGTTTTCTCAGAGTACGTGCAGCTCATGAAAGAGGAGGACGCGCAGATCAAGGAGGAGAGGAAAGCCTTTCTGAACTCCATTGACAATCTCGGCACCATCCTGCAGAGCCTGGTCTCTGGCCTGAATAAAATCGGGGAGGCCCTGCTCAGGCCTGACCAAAGCCCGGCCGCCGGGTTCGCAGACAGCTTCTCCTCTCTGAACTCGCCCTCAGGCTGCGTGTCGCCGGTGCTTTGCAACGGAGAAAGCACCCCTTCTCAGAGCACCCATTTCCCCGGCTCGCTGGAGAGGGCATCTCCGGAAACATCGAGCCCTGCCAAGGAATCAGTGTACATTCCAGACTGCCAAGGGTAGCTGTGCCTAAAAGGCCAGGTGTGGACAACCCTTTTCGAGCCTCCCTTGTGGCTTAACCTTCCCCAGCCCCCAGGGCCTGCATGCCAGAGGTGGGGGGAGCCGGTGCAAAAGGGGGCAGAGCCGACGCAGAAAAATAATAACAGGCTGATGTCACCTCTCACGCATATGCCCCCCATTGATACAGAAACACAGGGAAATTAGATCTGTCCCCCTAAGCTGGACTGCTTGTGGGTGGAGATATCTTGAGCCGCAGTTTTCAGGATGCAATCTTTACTCTACTGCAGAGCAATGAGGCTTGAACTCATGGCGGAAACGAAGAGTCTTCCCCCGTTCCTCCAGCCTGAGCGTTTTTGTCAGGGTGTGGGTTGCAGAGTAGGGGTGGGATGTTAAAAAAAACCCTTCCAAATCTCCCAGTTGCAACCGACCTGCAGCAATGGATTCGCCCTGCATGGAGCCACTGGGAGGCGGGTTAATGGGGCCGAGGATCAGACCGCTGGCCCCTCACCTCTGGCACAAACCAGCGGTTTACCCGAGGTATCCAGTCGCGTTAGACGTTTTGGGGAAGAGAGCTTTGGCAAAATGTCCTCGGCGTCTCACACGGAAGTTGGCTGAGCCAACGTTTGGCAGCCTGAGATTGCTTTTTGGCACCGAAACCAAAATGAATTCTACCGAAGTGTGGGGAGATATAACCTTCCTCCTCAGCCCGATTGGCACTGGTCGCCTGAGAGGCTTGTGTGGTGTGCGTTTGAGAGGGGGGCAGGTAGCGTTGGTCTGTGGCCCCCGGAAGCCTAGCCAAGGCTGAATGCGGCCCTGCGGACAGTAACTCTTTGCCGCCCCTGTTCCAAGTGCATGTTCTTTACTGGGGTTTTTAATAGCCTAATGAGCGCAGCTGCATTCAGATGAAATAAGCCAGAGTGAAGGATTTCTTTTTGAAAAAATAGATCTTTCTCTCTATATATATATTATGCATTTTTCTAACAACTCTAATTTTAGCGCACACCTGAACCCATTTATATTCTGTGTTTTGTGCAACAAAAGCATAGGTTCCCTGATTTATAAATAAGAAGCACCTTTCTGTCGCCGCCCCCGGTTGTTTTAAAGAAGATTTTTTAATAAAAGAAATGGTTCAATAAAAGAAATTACTCTTTTCGTCCGAACCGTCCTGCTTCTTATATTCACAGTTGGTATATTTTTTTATCTCAGCATTTTCCCTTCATGGTACGATAGTTGCGCCTCCAAGTTCCTTAAATTATGATTGACGGAAGGGATACGGGTGTTAAGATTTCTTATCTGCCCTTTACCGTAAGGTCCCAGAATGGGTTGCAGTAACATATACAGTTACAAAAACGAATAAAAATGGCGTCAACAGTGAGACTGTTCCAGAATTATCCTCTGTACTAGAGTGAGGAACTTTTCTCAGCCACATAATCTCCTGGACATCTTTTTGGGAAGTGGGGAATATGCAAGTGGTGGGCAGGGAAAGAAGCAACAGCATGAGGCACAATAAGTGTAAATTTCACCTTTGTACGGAAGTCTAGCTTCTCCACACACAAACAGTAACTTCCCACAAACAGCTCAGTGACCATGCAGTTTACGGATGCTCCCGCCGCCCCTGATGTTTTACTTTAATTATTACTTTAGTAATTTTTGATGGCTTTTGACAGTTTTTTGATTAATAATTCTATTTTTGTTTTGTAAACCGTTTGAGGTTTTCACGATAATCGAGCATTCTGTACGTTTCATTAAATAAAATAATAAATAAATCCAAAACAAAACGCAAGGCCCACAATCCCTGCACAAATAATCCCTAGCTTGCATACATAAATAGTCTGCACGGATGTTATCGGCCCAGAGATGGAAAGACGAAGTCCCTACCAGAGAAGAATGGCAGATCAAGTTGACGGATTATGCCAAAATGGCCAGAATGACCGGAAGAATCAGAAATCGGGAAGAAAGACCAAAATTGTTAATAAGGAACGGGGAAAATTTATGACTTACCTTAAAAACCATTGTAAACAGTTAAAATCGTTAGTAGGATTGGAATATCACTTGTAGCTTAATGATGAATATTGGACACAATAGAGATGTAAAAGATTTGTATTACTATAAAAGATGCAGGAGGAAAGATTAACAATAGGACCCACAAAGGGGAGGAGGGAAGTCCCAAGAGATTCCTTGGAATCTTGTTTTTATGTTGTATGTTCAATATGTGACTGTAAAATTTTAACTTGAAAAAAACAATAATTTAATAATAATAATAAATTTTATTTATACCCCGCCCTCCCCAGCCAGAATCGGGCTCAGGGTGGCTAACACCAATAAAATCACAGTAAAAAACAATGGGGGGCAGACCCAATTTAAAATACAGGTTAAAATGCAATTTAAAATGCAGCCTCATTTTAATAGTAGGCCATAGATCAAAACCATAAGGGGAGAGAAACATAAGGGTCAGACTGAGTCCAAACCAAAGGCCAGGCTGAACAGCTCTGTCTTGCAGGCCCTGCGGAAAGATGTCAAGTCCTGCAGGGCCCTAGTCTCTTGTGACAGAGCGTTCCACCAAGTCGGGGCCAGTACTGAAAAGGCCCTGGCTCTAGTTAAGACCAATCTAACCACCTTGTGACCTGGGACCTCCAAAATGTTGTCATTTGTGAACCTTAAGGTCCTCCGCGGGGCATACCAGGAGAGGCGGTCCCCTGTATGTGAGTCCTAGGCCGCATAGGGCTTTAAAAGGATTAGGATTAGTCCTGAATACCAATCGCTGGAAATTGCAGAAGGGGAGTGGGCTCTTGTGGACAAATCCCGCTTGTGGGTTTTGTTGGCCACTGTGGGAACAGGAAACTGGACCAGATGGGCCATTGGACTGATCTTGCGGGCTCTTCCTGCGATCTCAATATGGGGAAAATCAGGTAAGAAATCAAATAAACAACATTTAGGATAATTGTATAGACTCGCCTGTTCTCCCAGGCACTTGATGGCTAAAAGAAACTGTTCCCTGAAATTATTAGCTGTGAGGATACCTGGCTCCTTATAAATGTTTTTTGCTCTAAAGGTAAAGGGACCCCTGACCATTAGGTCCAGTCGCGGGCGACTCGGGTTGTGGCACTCATCTCGCTTTATTGGCCAAGGGAGCCAGCGTACAGCTTCCGGGTCATGTGGCCAGCATGACTAAGCCGCTTCTGGCGAACCAGAGCAGCGCACGGAAACGCCGTTTACTTTCCTGCCAGAGTGGTACCTAGTTATGTACTTGCACTTTGACGTGCTTTCGAACTGCTAGGTGGGAAGGAGCCGGGGCTGAGCAACGGGAGCTCACCCCGTTGTGGGGATTCGAACTGCCAACCTGATCGGCAAGCCCTAGGCTCTGTGGTTTAGACCACAGCGCCACCTGTGTCTCTTTTAGCTCTACTTAGTGCTTACTATTTTTTTTATTTGTGGTGTTCTGCTGGCTTGGCCTTCCAGTAGTGGTGTGGGGGGGGAGGTTTACAGGGTGGGAGGGAGAAGCACAGAACTGCAAACATTGTACTAGATAATATTTATTTTAACAAGTTTACACGCTGCGACGCTTAAGATAATCAACTTGTCTGAACTGCTTTCTTGGTGACTTTATTATGCCAACATTCCTAAATCCATTAAAGCAAAACCAAATCGAGAAAAAAAGTTAAAAGCATCACTAAAAATTAAAAACAGTTTTTTTAAAAAAGCAGCAGAGAACTATCAGGAACATTAAAAAAAATGTACTGAAGGAAAAACATGGGAGGGGAGTTTTGTCCCCTGAAGCTGTATAGATTTCTTAATGGTCAGATGATGCGGTGGTACCACCACAAACAAGGCCCTAGTTCCTCACATCCAGGCTGTGACAGTACAGTGGTACCTCGGGTTAAGAACTTAATTCGTTCTGGAGGTCCGTTCTTAACCTGAAACTGTTATTAACCTGAGGTACTACTTTAGCTAATGGGGCCTTTCGCTGCCGCCGCCACGCGATTTCTGTTCTCATCCTGAAGCAAAGTTCTTAACCTGAGGTACTATTTCTGGGTTAGCAGAGTCTGTAACCTGAAGCGTCTGTAACCCAAGGTACCACTGTACTTTTGAGCTGAAGTTCATTTGAGGTTCTTGTTGGCAGAGACATGACAATACATATATAAAAGCAGGCGTTTCACAGGGCCAAAGCTCAGTGGTAGAGCGTGTGGAGCGTGTAGGTCCAATAGTGTGTGGAAAAGTAGGTCCAATCTTCAGTATCTTCAGGCAGGGCTCAGAAAGACCCTTGCCTGAAACCTCCAGTGAACAGCTGACAGTCAGTGTAGGCAATACTGAGCTAGATAGGCCAAAGGTGTGGATCAAAATAAAACAGCTTCTTGTGTTCTTATGTGGTTGAGCATCTGCCAAGCTCAATCCTCAGTGATCTCTCCAGGGAAGGCTGAGATGGACCCCTGCCTGGAAAACCTCTGTCAGACAGTACTGATGAGCTAAACGGGCCAAAGATCTAATTCAGTATGATACAGCTTCTTATATTCCTCTTGATTTTGTATGATTCTAGTCATGTCCTCTGGAGGCTTCTATCAGTAAGGAGAGGTGATCTCCCTCAATATTTTCCCCACAGCTCAGACATTCCTCAAGATTCCCCCAACTAGCAATCTATGGAGTTGTGTGGAGAAGTGAGCTCCAACAGCAAACATTTTCCGCCCGCGTGAGCACATCTATTGCTCCTGCCTCGCGTGGATAATCTGATGTCTACGAAGGTGGTCGCTCCGGCCAAACTTCTTCCCACACTCCAGACATTTATACAATTTCTCCCTTGCGTGAACCATTTGATGGAAAGCAAGTTCTGAGCTCGCGCCGCAACTTCCTCCGCACTCGTACTGTTTCTCGCCAGCATTAATTATGTGATGGTTAACAAGATACGATCTGCAAGATAGACTCTCGTCACACTCTGAGCAACTGTACAGTTCCTCTCCCGGGTGTATGCCTTGATGCAAAATCTGGGAGTCGTTCTGACTCAAGCTTTTTCCGCACATGAAGCACTTGCGCAGCTTTTCCAGCGGATGGATTCTTTGATAGGAAGGAAGATTTGCGTTCTGGCAGAAGCTTTCACCAAAGTCTGCACACGGATACAGTTTCTCTCCAGAATGAATGCGTTGATGTGCCGTAAAAAGCCGGCTCCACCTAAATCTCTTTCCGCACTCCAAGCATTTGTACGGTTTCTCCCCCGTGTGAATTCTCTGATGTGCAATAAGGGACTTATCCCAGCTGAAGCTCTTTCCGCACTCCAGGCATTTGTACGGCTTCTCCCCGGTGTGGTTTCTCTGGTGACAAGTGAGGCTTGCACTCTGACGGAAGCTCCTTCCGCAGACAGCGCATTTATACGGTTTCTCCTCCGCGTGGATTCTCTGATGGGAAGTAAGGGAGTCGCACCGGCTGAAGCTCTTGCCACACTCCAAGCATTTATACGGTTTCTCCCCTGTGTGGATTCTCTGATGAGAAGTAAGGCTTGCACTGTGGCTGAACCGTTTCCCACAAACTGAGCAGGCGTACGGTTTCTCTCCGGTGTGAATTCTCTGATGTGAAGCAAGGTTGTCGTGCCTGTTGAAGCTCTTCCCGCATTGTGGGCACTTGTAAGGCTTTTCTCCCGTGTGAGTTCTCTGGTGCAGATGAAATGCTGACTGGCAACTGAAGGCTCTTCCACACTCGGCACACTTGATCCTTTTCTTTCCTCTACACGTTGTGTGTTGTTTTGGGGCGCTGTCACCATACTGGAAAGCGGCAGATTTCTCCCCCTGCGTCTGAGTTTGTTTCTCCTCCTGCTTCTTTGCTCCATCTTGACCCTCCAAGTTCTCCCCACCGTACTGACCCGTGGCTGTTTCCAACGACACGCCCAACTCTGCTCCCTCGTTCTCACTCTCCCAGACGTAACCTGCTGGAATATAATGAGGAAACTGGATAAACCCTCTGATCGAGGGAAAAGCAGAACTGATTGTTGTAGGAGGACAAGTCTATCAGCTTCCCAGGATGAAGGTTAGGCTCTGCCTCCGTGGACCACGAAGGCAACCCTCTGTCTCCACTGTTGGAAGGTGTGATGGCCTGGGGCTCGGGCTCAGACTCGGAACCAAAGGAGTCTCAGTCTGCACTGGATCCTTTGCCTCAGGCGGCATCTGAACCCAGTCTGGGGCCTGATTCTGAA